TCCTAATCCTGTTAGATCTAAATGCTGCCTTTGACACTGTCGACCATGAGATCCTCTTACAGAGACTAGAGGACTGGGTTGGCGTCGCTGGCACCGCCCTAAGTTGGTTTAGGTCTTACCTTGAAGACAGGAAATACTTTGTGGAGATTGGAAACTGTGTCTCAGATCATATGGCCCTGACCTGTGGAGTCCCACAGGGGTCGATCCTGGGACCTCTTCTGTTCAATCTCTACATGCTGCCGTTAGGTCAGTTAATACACAGAAACAAAGTTTCCTATCATAACTATGCAGACGACACTCAGATCTATGTCTCACTGACTGCAGGAGAACATGGACCAGTGGACTCACTCCTTCACTGTATCCAACAGATCAGTGAGTGGATGCAAAACAACTTCCTTCAGCTAAACGCAGACAAAACTGAAATGATTGTCTTTGGTCCCCAGAAACAAAGAGACAGCGTCATCTGTCATCTACAGTCTCTCTCCCTAAAACCTTCAAACAAGGTCAGAAATCTAGGGGTAATACTGGACTCAGACTTAAAGAAGCTATACCCGATTTTTTTTCTAAGTAGTTCATAAAAATGCTTTTTACTACATACAAGTTGTATCATAATACATAATTTAATTGAAAACTTGAGGTCATTGATTCCACTGTGTATGAAATTCAGGCAGTGAAAAATGCTGAGTAGAGTCTGAGCGGGCCGCTCTTTCTCCTCCACTCACAGAACAAGAAGCGAACAGCCTGAGTCCTCTAGCCTCTACAGCGCTGCTTAACACCAGGGCTTCGACTTCAAAATTCGAATATAATTCTAAAATAAAAAATATATACATATTTGAACAAATATTAGACAACCCTTATAATTAGAAATGTATTTAATGACTGCAAATAAAATAGTTAGCTCCCAAAGGTTTCACTGGGACGTGCTAGGCAGGTAACAGCTAAGCTAGTTAGCTGTTTCATGGTAACTTCCGGGTTTTTCGCGATCGCTTTTTGTCACTTTAAAACAGTATTTTTGTCATGAAAACGTTGACAGCAAATTCTGAAATCGTCCGTGCATGTGTGTTAAGGATGTATATGTATACTGTATTGTCCGATTGACGTTTAATGGTGTTGATTCATTGATATGTATTTGTTTATTGAGCGTGGCTAGCTCCGCTAGCTCCGCTAGCTTCTCTACACAGACAAGTGTGCAGAAAAACTGCACAATGTAGTGACAGGCGCTGATAGCTTGTTGTACTTGCAGAGTAATGGCAGTATTTTACACACCTGAATTACAAACAGAGATTGCATTGGGGCTGCGGTCATTATTGGTTTGAGAGTTCTGTTATCAAGAAAAAATGATCGGAAGAATTGCATTCACGTCAATGGAGTGCTGCTGCTGTGAGGAGCTGTATAATAAATTATAATTAAATATTAGAATATATTCCAATGTTTAAATTAATACATTCGGATGCAAAACTAATGGTATTTTTTTACTTATATATTGTGTTAGCAGTGCATTGCTTTAGTACCATTTCATCAGTGATTGTTGTACAGCTTACAAGTTGCGCTAATGCTAATGTTAGCATACGTATCAGATTGTAAATAAAACTAGGTGGCTCCGTGAGATGAGAGCGTAGGGGAAATGAGAAGCCATTGAGCGAGTTGGGGGGCGGTGCTAAACATTCAAACATTGCAGAAACGGGTATAGCGCCTTTAAATTTTAATAGCCACATAAAATCAGTAACATCAGCAGCTTTTTACCATCTAAAAAACATTGCCAGGATCAAAAACATAGTGTCTAAAGCAGACCTGGAGATTCTTATCCATGCATTTGTCTCCAGTAGGTTAGACTACTGCAATGACCTGCTCACAGGTCTGTCCAAACAGGCTGTAAAACAGCTGCAGTACATTCAAAATGCAGCAGCTTGAGTCCTGACTAGAACCAGGAAGTACGACCACATTAGTCCAGTCCTCAGGTCTCTGCACTGGCTTCCTGTGGCTCAGAGAATAGACTTTAAAACAGCTCTGCTTGTGTACAAGTCTCTCCATGGCCTCGCACCAAAATATATTAGTGACATGTTAGTCCCATATGAACCAGCCCGGACTCTGAGGAGCACAGGGACTGGACTCCTGTTAGTGCCCAGAGTCAGAACTAAACATGGGGAGGCTGCTTTTCAGATTCATGCTGCTAAAATCTGGAACAATCTTCCTGAAGATGTGAGACAGGCCTCCTCTCTGACAATGTTTAAAACCAGGTTAAAAACGGTGCTGTTTAGCTGTGCATACAACTGAGGGATTTTATATTTTTATCTTTCGTTTTAATGTTCTGTAATTATTTATGATTTTAATGTTATCTTGTTCAGCACTTTGAGTTGCCTTGTGTATGAATTGTGCTATACAAATAAACTTGCCTTGCCTTGCCTTGCCTTGCCACATGCCGCTTTACACGCCATTTATTCCCCACGTGCCGTTTTAAACGCCACTTGTTGTCCACATGCCGTTTTAAACGCCGCTTGTTGTCCACATGCCGTTTTACACTGCATTTATTGTCCACATGCCATTTTAAACGCCACTTGTTGTCCACATGCCGCTTTACACGCCATTTATTCCCCACATGCTGTTTTAAACGCCACTTGTTGTCCACATGCCGCTTTACACGCCATTTACTCCCCACATGCCGTTTTAAACGCCATTTGTTGTCCACATGCCGCTTTACAGGCCATTTATTCCCCACATGCCATTTTAAACGCCACTTGTTGTCCACGTGCCGTTTTAAACGCCTTTTGTTGTCCACATGCCGCTTTACACGCCATTTATTCCCCACATGCCGTTTTAAACGCCACTTGTTGTCCACATGCCGTATTAAACGCCACTTGTTGTCCACATGCCGTTTTTAAACGCCACTTGTTGTCCACATGCCGTTTTAAATGCCATTTATTGCCCACATGCCGCTTTACACGCCATTTATTCCCCACATGCCGTTTTATACGCCACTTGTTGTCCACATGCCGTTTTAAACGTCGCTTGTTGTCCACATGCCGTTTTACACGCCATTTATTGTCCACATGCCGTTTTAAACGCCACTTGTTGTCCACATGCCGTTTTAAGCGCAATTTATTCCCCACATGTCGTTTTAAACGCCATTTATTCCCCACATGCCGTTTTAAACGGCACTTGTTTTCCACATGCCGTTTTAAACGCCATTTGTTGTGTACATGCCATTGATCAGCTGTGGCATGTGGTGCCACAAAAGGAGCCTGCCCTTTCTCCAAAATTAACAAAAAAAGAACTTTCTGGTCCCTCTGTCTCTGGTCTGGATCAGTAACAAATAGATACAAATTGTAAACAAATGACAACAGGCAGGGATTGTATTTTTCCAAAAATATCCTAAATATAAAATGCAGTCAAATAAGCTGTATATTACAGATAGTAAATGTTTTTAATATATACAGTCTATGGTTTTTGTAGTTGATTTTTTCATCTTTTTTAACTTAAGCCATTAATTAGTAGTATATACATAAAAAGGTTATGACAGGTTTCTTATCACAGACAGATTGTATAATTATTATTAATACAGTTTTTTCCAAGTTCCTGTTGTTGCTGAACAGTTGCCGACCACCTCCAGAACGTCTTTTAGTCATTTTGTATAAATATGAAACCATAAATTGTTACTATAGGTTTAGTTTTTTACATTATTGTAATGTAAAGTGTACACAGTACTGTAACATCTCAGTTTTATGTACTTTACTGTCTTGTATGTTTCAAAAACTACATTTTTTTCAAAAGGAGCAAAAGCCAACTTTCAAAACAGTACATGTGATACAGTACAGTACTGTAAATACTGTAGATACAGTCTGCAGTAAAGTTACAGTACATGTGATACAGTACAGTACTGTAAATACTGTAGATACAGTCTGCAGTACACAAGTACAGTACATGTTGGAGACATGTTTCCATCTGAAGGTCCTGATGCTGCAGCTGTGTCCGGACTCTGCTTCCCTCAGTCTGAGGCCATGGTTCATCACATGATCCACAAAAGTTACTCTAATGTCATCAGAAATATTGTGTTGTTTTTGTCCTCTTTAACTCCTTGCTCTTCCTCTTCCTCTCTCTTGCTCTTCCTCTTCCTCTCTCTTGCTCTTCCTCTTCCTCTCTCTTGTTCTTCCTGCCTCAGACTTGCAAAGTTCTGAAAATGTCTAAACTGAGTTTTATGTCTGACTGATGTGTGTCACATTTTGTAAGTCAGTGTTTTCAAGTGTGTGTCTCAGTATTTTCTATCACACAATGTATTTGGTATTTTGAATGGATGTGTTTTTTCAATGATAAGTCAGGATTGCATTTATGAACAAAGTCTTATGTATGACACAGTGTGTAGTGAGCAGGAGAAAGTGAGTTGCAGAATGAAAAAGTGTGTTGCAGAAGGAGAAAGTGTGTTGCAGAAATGAAAGTAAAGTGCAAAGCAGTACTTTTGCTTAAGGAATGGTTTTATTTAGGTTTAGAACAAAAGCTTCAGGTTCTGAAACTTTGGTCTAAGCATCTGTCTATAGTGTTCAAGCAACAGGAAAAAACTGTATTATTAGGCTGAAGTCATCGGGAGGTCATCTTTGGTTCCCATTTCAGTCCAGTAGGTGGCAGTAAACGAGAGGTCACGGAGGCTGCCGAAAAACGAGAGAGTGGCTACGTTCAATTTTCACAAAAACATCTCTTTTTCATAATTGTTCAAATCATTTGTATTACATTTACTGGCATCTTCTTGGTGTATATAATGTGGAAAAATATTACTATATCTTTACATTGCATTCATCTTACCCTAGAGCTACGCATTTTCATAAAAAGCCAATTAAAGCTTGAGTGAGGACGTGTGGTGGTTGTATTTGGACGCGGCCCGTGGTTTGTTGACACACTGGAGCTGGACCGTCACCTCTGTCTGACTGTAGCCGAGCTCGACCCGGTCATAGCCCCGGCTTCGTACACCAGCTCCCCCCGCTGTCTTTCTAATGTGACACTGGTTCTTTCTGATGGCTCTGCTCCTGAAATCTCCCGGAGGATCGTTCTGCAAATACAAAAACAGCAGTAATAGATTGCAATGTCCCTGTAGATTAGCATTAGCATAGTCACTATCTCTATATTAAGTTAAGCTAAAGCGACTTGTAATGAAGAATTAGCATGTTTTTAGCCAACTAGCCTAGCCATGGCTTTCCCTGGACCCTCACACAAACTTCGGCTATCAAAGCATAACATTATTTACTTATTGATGCTTTAATCGATAATAAACCCGAGGCTGTCTCTACAAGTGACTACTACTGTTAGCATTAGCTCCGCCGGGCTAATGCTAATGGTAACAGCGAGCTAGCCGCTACCTCAGTGCATGGCAAAGTAAGTTATTTTGTATTACTTCTAAACTGTTATTGCTGACGTTATCGCAATGGGCTGCACACATGCGTATTTGTGCACATGTGTGTGAGAATTGTCTGTTTATGTGGTGTGTTGTAAAGCCTTGTTGATTTGATCTAATGTGAAATGGGTGTGTGAAGGCCATGGGCTGCAGGAGCACGACCTCAGCAATATTATTTATTATTATTATTAAAACTTTATTACAGACACGAAGTCCAGATAAGAAAGACATTACACATGACAATAACAGTGCAACAACACGAATGGTTATTATTCATGGGTCAAAGCAGTGGTGACAGGGACTTATTGTTTTACATTGGATAACTTCTAAAGCTGGGGTGCCTACTTAATTTAGTATAATTGAGAGAGCTGATTTGCTTTCTGGTCTCTCTTTCTCTGGTCTATCTCTCTCTGGTCTTTCTGCCCAATTTGGTCTCTCTTGTCTGTCGCTTGTCTCTCTCTGGTCTCTATTTAGTCTCTCTCTGGTCTTTTTCTGTTCTCTTTCTTGTCTCTCTGTCCTCTATTTAGTTTCTCTCTCTCTGGTCTCTCTCTGGTCTCTCTCTGGTCTCTCTCTGGTCTCTCTATCTGGTCTCTCTCTGGTCTCTCTCTGGTCTCTCTCTCTGGTCTCTCTCTGGTCTCTCTCTCTGGTCTCTCTCTGGTCTCTCTCTGGTCTCTCTCTGGTCTCTCTCTGGTCTCTCTCTGCTCTCTCTCTGGTCTCTCTCTGGTCTCTCTCTGGTCTCTCTCTGCTCTCTCTCTGGTCTCTCTCTGGTCTCTCTCTGGTCTCTCTCTCTGGTCTCTCTCTGGTCTCTCTCTCTGGTCTCTCTCTGGTTTCTGTCTGGGTCTCTCTATTCTCTCTTGTCTATTGCTGGTTCCTCTCTGGTCTCTCTCTGGTCTCTGTCTCTCTCTTTCTGGTTTCTCCTTTTACATTGTGTCTTTTAGATTGTGTTGTCTGAGAAAGCTGATCAAAAGACAGTAGCCATTAATACTAAACGTTAATAAATTAGAGCCAAGAACTAGAAACATGGGTTTCTTTACATTCACTGGTTCATGTTTTTGTGATTTGAAAGTTGTGAAATTAAAGTCTGGTTAAAGTTAGAACTTCGGAGGTTTATCTGGTCCGGGCAGAACTGAGTCCGTTTAAATAATGACCCCTCTCCTTCTTTGTGGCTGGAACTTCCTCAAACATTTCCTGCAGTAAAATGGTGAAATGCAGGAGAGAAGATGAGGAAATGAACCCAAGGCCATAGTTTGATGTTTGTAAATGAGCAGAATTAGGTTGTTTTTATGTCGTAGAATGATATTTAAGTATTTTAGCTGGTGCCAATGCAACTCTATGGATAGACACATTATGTGATGGTAATTAGATTTTCAAAGTGAGAGAGCAGAGTGAGAGAGAGTAGAGTGAGAGAGAGTAGAGTGAGAGAGAGTAGAGTGAGAGAGAGTAGAGTGAGAGAGAGTAGAGTGAGAGAGAGTAGGGTGAGAGAGAGTAGGGTGAGAGAGAGTAGGGTGAGAGAGAGTAGGGTGAGAGAGAGTAGGGTGAGAGAGAGTAGAGAGAGAGAGAGTAGAGTGAGAGAGAGTAGAGTGAGAGAGAGTAGAGTGAGAGAGAGTAGAGTGAGAGAGAGAGAGAGCAGAGTGAGTGAGAGAGAGAGAGCAGTGTGAGTGAGAGAGAGAGCAGAGTGAGTGAGATAGAGAGCAGAGTGAGTGAGATAGAGAGCAGAGTGAGTGAGAGAGAGAGAGAGTGAGAGAGAGAGCAGAGTGAGTGAGAGAGAGAGTAGAGTGAGAGAGAGAGAGAGCAGAGTGAGTGAGAGAGAGAGAGCAGAGAGAGTGAGAGAGAGAGAGCAGAGTGAGTGAGAGAGAGAGAGCAGAGTGAGTGAGTGAGAGAGAGAGAGCAGAGTGAGTGAGAGAGAGAGAGCAGAGTGAGTGAGAGAGAGAGAGCAGAGAGTGAGTGAGAGAGAGCAGAGTGAGTGAGAGAGAGAGAGCAGAGTGAGTGAGAGAGAGAGCAGAGTGAGTGAGAGAGAGAGCAGAGTGAGTGAGAGAGAGAGCAGAGTGAGTGAGAGAGAGCAGAGTGAGTGAGAGAGAGCAGAGTGAGTGAGATAGAGAGCAGATTGAGTGAGAGAGAGCAGATTGAGTGAGAGAGAGCAGAGTGAGCGAGAGCAGAGTGAGTGAGTGAGAGAGAGAGAGCAGAGTGAGTGAGATAGAGAGAGAACAGAGTGAGTGAGCGAGAGAGCAGAGTGAGCGAGAGAGCGGAGTGAGTGAGAGAGAGAGAGCAAAGTGAGTGAGATAGAGAGCAGAGTGAGAGTGAGAGAGAGAGAGCAGAGTGAGTGAGAGAGAGAGCAAAGTGAGTGAGATAGAGAGCAGAGTGAGAGTGAGAGAGCAAGAGCAGAGTGAGTGAGCAAGAGCAGAGTGTGAGAGAGAGAGCAGAGTGTGAGAAAAAGCAGAGAGAGAGAGAGAGAGAGAGGGAGCAGAGAGTCAGACTTGACTCTCCCTCAGACCAGAGAGAGAGAGAGAGAGAGATGGGCCATTGAGAGGCAGAAGTGAGAGAGAGAGACATAAGACAAAAGAGAGCACATATAAGAGAGACAAGAGACTAGAGAGAGAGCAAAAACCAGAGAGACCCGAGGGAATGAGAAACCAGAGAGAGAGAGACCAAACCAGAAACTAAAGCTGAAGTCTTATGTGTGTCTGAAGGTTGCCAAGAGCTGATGGCCTCTTCTCCAGTCATGGACGCTCTCACCGGCTCCTCTCCGGCCAATCACCAGAACGGGAACGCTCACCGGGAGCCGCCATCGCCGCTGGAGCCGCAGCCCTCGGCCTCCACGGCGCTCAGGCTGCATCTGCACCACAGCCTCCAGGGGGCGCCAGAGAGCAGCTTCCTCAGTTTCCCTCCAGGACACTATGTGGCTGAAGAGCTGTGCATTGATGCAGCAAAGGCCTGCGGTGAGTACAGGTGTAGGTCTGGGTCTGGCTTTAGTCCGGATGTAGCCCATGGTCTGGTTTTGGTCTTGGTCCAGATTGGGTCCAGGGTCATAGAGCTGTTACTTTGCGGATTTCGCTATTTACGGGTTATATTTGGAATCTATAATCTTGTACTTTTTGTCCGGGTCTCGTCTGGTTCTGGTTTTGGTCCTGATCTTGTCTTGGTCCGGGTCTGGTAATCCTTTGGTCCTGGTCTTGGTCAAAGTCTGGTCCAGGTCGCATTTTGGTTCGTATCTTGATCTTGGCATTTTTATTGTCCTGGATCTGTGCATCAACGCAGCGAAGGCCTGTGGTAAATACAGGGTTTAGTCCGGGTCTGGTCTTGGACTTGGTCTGGTATTGGTCCAGATTTGGTCCTGCTTCATAGAGCTGCTACTTTGCAGATTGAGTTTATTGTGTGTTATGTTTAGAGTCTAACCTTGGACAAAACCTACTGGAATTTAAACTAGCAGTACTTTTTGTCCGGGTTCCGTCTTAATCTGGTGGTGGTCTTGGTCCATATTTTTTTCTGGGTCTAGTTTTGATTCCGATCTTGCCTTTGAATTTTGGTCAGAGTCTAGTTCTGGTCTTGATCCTGGTCTTGTCTTGGTCCAGGTCGCATTTTGGTTCATATCTTGATCTGGGTCTGGCATTTTCATTGTCCTAAGTCTGGTCCTGATCCGGATCTTGTCTGCGACCTGATCTGGGTCTGGCCCTGGTTCAGGTCTTGGCTTGTTGTCTTGGTCTGGTCTTGGTCTGGTCTTGGTTCGATCTTGGTTCAATCTTGCTCCAAGTCTTTATAAAGGGAATAGCGGCGTGTGCGACAACCCAAACTGACAGTGAGAGCTTCATTCACCCGGACGCAGCTCCACGGCTCGTTACGCTGTCATTGAGCAGAGTGTTCTCCATCTGTGACCCGTTTGTGGATCTAGAACCTTTTTCCTGAGCCACACGTGAGCAATGACAGAGAAAAGACTTTTATTGTGTCTAAATGAGTAGGAACAGCCTTGATGAGCCAGCAGCAGAGTGTTGCTGATAAACAAAACATGACATTTTGAAATTATTGCAGCCGTCTGACCTTTTCTTCACCTGTGTTTACTAAAGACACTGTATTTACTGTAGGTCTCGCTCTGGTCTCGCTCTGGTCTCGCTCTGGTCTCGCTCTGGTCTCGCTCTGGTCTCGCTCTGGGCTCTCTGGGCTCTCTCTGGTCCCTCTCTAGTCTCTGTCTGGTCTCTCTCTCTGATCTCCCTCTCTGGGCTCTCTCCCTGGTCTCTCCCTGCTCTCTCCCTGCTCTCTCTCTGCTCTCTCTCTGCTCTCTCCCTGCTCTCTCCCTGCTCTCTCCCTGCTCTCTCTCTGGTCTCTCTCTGCTCTCTCTCTGCTCTCTCCCTGCTCTCTCCCTGCTCTCTCTCTGGTCTCTCTCTGCTCTCTCTCTGCTCTCTCCCTGCTCTCTCCCCGCTCTCTCCCTGCTCTCTCTCTGCTCTCTCCCTGGTCTCTCCCTGCTCTCTCCCTGCTCTCTCTCTGCTCTCTCCCTGCTCTCTCCCTGGTCTCTCCCTGCTCTCTCTCTGCTCTCTCCCTGGTCTCTCCCTGCTCTCTCCCTGCTCTCTCCCTGCTCTCTCCCTGCTCTCTCTCTGCTCTCTCCCTGCTCTCTCCCTGGTCTCTCCCTGGTCTCTCCCTGCTCTCTCCCTGCTCTCTCCCTGGTCTCTCCCTGCTCTCTCCCTGCTCTCTCTCTGCTCTCTCCCTGCTCTCTCCCTGCTCTCTCTCTCCGGTCTCTCTCTGGTCTCTCCCTGCTCTCTCTCTGCTCTCTCTCTGCTCTCTCCCTGCTCTCTCCCTGCTCTCTCCCTGCTCTCTCCCTGCTCTCTCTCTGCTCTCTCCCTGGTCTCTCCCTGGTCTCTCCCTGGTCTCTCCCTGGTCTCTCCCTGCTCTCTCCCTGCTCTCTCTCTGCTCTCTCCCTGGTCTCTCCCTGGTCTCTCCCTGGTCTCTCCCTGGTCTCTCCCTGCTCTCTCCCTGGTCTCTCCCTGCTCTCTCCCTGCTCTCTCTCTGCTCTCTCTCTGGTCTCTCTCTGCTCTCTCCCTGCTCTCTCTCTGCTCTCTCCCTGCTCTCTCTCTGCTCTCTCTCTGCTCTCTCCCTGCTCTCTCCCTGCTCTCTCCCTGCTCTCTCCCTGCTCTCTCCCTGCTCTCTCCCTGCTCTCTCTCTGTTGTCTGCGCCCGGACAAGTCTGATAAACTTAAAGGGCCTCTTACGAAGTGGTTTTGACCCCCCTGCATTAGACGATGTCATGTTTAAGTTTTTTATTAACAAAATATCTCACATTGTAAAAACCCTAAAGTTCAGTTTTGTAAATATAGCATCAGACTTTCACACACTCCTGTCTCCTTTTGCAGGTATCTCTCCTCTCTACTTCAGCTTCTTTGCTCTTTTTCGAGAGCGAGACCAGATCTGGTTTTCCCCAAACCACGTCTTTCACCTGGACGAAACCACGACGGAGGATTTGTTCTTCAGAATACGGTAGTCGCCCACAAACCGACCGTGACGAGATCTTCTATAACATTATCGTCATTATAATGTTTGTCTTCTCCTGCCCTTCGTGAATCTCTTCTTTCCCCCCAGATTCTACTTTCCTGGCTGGTACAACAGTGGGCCGGCGCGGGCCTATCGCTACGGCGTCTCCAAGGGGTCAGAAAGCCCTGTGCTTGACGACGCAGTGATGTCATACCTCTTCTTCCAGGTAAAATGTGTCTCCATCTTTGTAGTCCATGTCTCCATCCTTGTAATCCAAGTCTTTCTGTTCTCGCTCTCTCCCTCTGGTCTCTCTCTCTATCTCTCTGACCTCTCTCGTGCTCTCTCTCTCTCTCTCTCTCTCTCTCTCTCGCTCTCTCTCCCTCTGCCCTCTCTCTTTCTGGCCCCTCTCTGGCCTCTCTCGCTCTCTCTCTTGCCTCTCTCCCTCTGGTCTCTCTCTTTGTGGTCTCTCTCTGGTCTCTCTCCCTCTGATCTCTCTCTCTCTCTCTGGCCTCTCTCTCTCTGGCCTCTCTCTCTCTCTCTCCCTCTTGCCTCTCTCTCGCTCTCCCTCTGGCCCCTCTCTCTCTCCCTCTGGCCTCTCTCTCTCTCTCTGGCCTCTCTCTCTCTCTCTCCCTCTGGCCTCTCTCTCTCTCTCCCTCTGGCCTCTCTCTCTCTCCCTCTGGCCTCTCTCTCTCTGCCTGGCCTCTCTCTCTCTGTCCCTCTGGCCTCTCTCTCTGCCTGGCCTCTCTCTCTCTGTCCCTCTGGCCTCTCTCTCTCTCTCCCTCTGGCCTCTCTCTCTGTCTGGCCTTTCTCTCTCTGTCCCTCTGGCCTCTCTCTCTCTCTCCCTCTGGCCTCTCTCTCTGTCTGGCCTTTCTCTCTTTCTCTCAGGCCTCTCTCTCTTTTAATGATGATAATACATTTTATTCATGAAGATGTTCTTCAGAAGTTGACTTCACGTCCTCCCTCTGACTCTGTCTCACTGTGGTCCTGTGCTGTCCTGTTCCTTCAGCTGTGACTGAGGCTGCCTCCTGAGCTCTCTCTGAAACATGAATGGAGCGATTCTTTACGTAGATCCCGTGCTTCTGTAAATACTCACCGCTGTAGGGTACATGTGTGTCAGAGCCGGTGTGTCTCCCTCAATGAGGAGCTGTGTGTCATCGCGGTCTCTCTCCCTAACACTGACTACAATAGTCAAAGAAGACATAAGATTTCTGTCGGATTCTCTCTCTCTATCTTGCTCTCTCTCTCTCTCTGATTTCTTTCGCTGGTCTCTCTCACTGATCTTTCTCTCTTTCTGATCTCTGATCCCTCTCTGGTCTCTCTCTCTGTTCTCTCTCTCTGGTCTCTCTGTCTGGTCTCTCTCTCTGTTCTCTCTCTGTTCTCTCTCTCTCTGGTCTCTCTCTCTGTTCTCTCTCTCTGGTCTTTCTCTGGTCTCTCTCTCTGTTCTCTCTCTCTCTCTGGTCTCTCTCTGGTCTCTCTCTCTGTTCTCTCTCTCTCTGGTCTCTCTCTCTGTTCTCTCTCTCTCTGGTCTCTCTCTCTGTTCTCTCTCTGTTCTCTCTCTCTCTGGTCTCTCTCTGTTCTCTCTCTCTGTTCTCTCTCTCTCTGTTCTCTCTCTCTCTGGTCTCTCTCTGTTCTCTCTCTCTCTGGTCTCTCTCTCTGTTCTCTCTCTCTGTTCTCTCTGGTCTCTCTCGCTGGTCTCTCTCTCTGGTCTCTCTAACGCTGATGTCTTGTCTCTGTGCAGTGGAGGAATGACTTCTTGAACGGTTTGATCAAAATCCCGTCGTCCCACGAGGCGCAGGAGGAGTGTCTGGGGATGGCGGTGCTGGACATGTCTCGTTTGGCCAAAGAGAAGCAGATGTCTCCACTGGACATTTACCACAACACAAGGTCAGGAGGAACTCTGCTGTCAGCACACTCTATCTACATGGTCAGCCACCAGGTGAGCGGTCGGCCACCAGGTGAGCGGTCGGCCACCAGGTGCGCGATCAGTCCCAAAAAAAACAATTGTAAACCGCTTTGTGACGAAAGTATTCGGCCCCCTTGAACCTTTCAACATGTCGCCACATTTTAGGCTTCAAACATAAAGATATAAAAAAAATATTTTTTGTCAAGAATCAACAACAAGTGGGACACAATCGTGAAGTGGAACGAAATTTATTGGATAATTTAAACTTTTTTAACAAATAAAAAACAGAAAAAAATAAAATAATATTCGGCCCCCTTGCTCTAATACTTTGTAGCGCCACCTTTTGCTGCAATTACAGCTGCAAGTCGCTTGGGGTATGTCTCTATCAGTTTTGCACATCGAGAGACTGGAATTCTTGCCCATTCTTCCTTGCAAAACAGCTGGGTTAGGGTTAGGACCTGCCTGGTGTGTTCCTTTGTCTTCATGGTTCTCTCTGCGCTTTAAACAGAACCCTGAGACTATCAAAGAGCAGGTGCATTTATACGGAGACTTGATTACACACAGGTGCATTCTATTTATCATCATCAGTCATTTAGGACAACATTGGATCATTCAAAGATCCTCACTGAACTTCTGGACTGAGTTTTCTGCACTGAAAGTAAATAATATTGCACGCCCCACTTTTCAGTTTTTTATTTGTTAAAAAAGTTTAAATTATCCAATAAATTTCGTTCCATTTCACGATTGTGTCCCACTTGTTGTTGATTCATGACAAAAAATTAAAATTTTATATCTTTATGTATATCTAATACTCGCTGATGTTTCAGTCGCCAAGTGTAAATAATAAAAAATGAAGCTTTGTGAATAATAAAGTTAATGCAGCTAAAATCCCCAATAGATGAAATATTCAGCTGACTCTGTCTCCTCCTCAGTTACAAAGCCTTTCTGCCGAAGCCGATGCGAGCTCAGATCCAGAATTGTAACTTTGTGACGCGGAAGCGGATCCGGTTCCGCTTCAAACGCTTCATCCAGCAGTTCAGCCAGTGCCGGGCCTCGGTCCGCGACCTGAAGCTCAAGTACCTGATCAGTCTGGAGGCCCTGGACCAGACCCTCTACACCGAGAGCTTCCAGGTCCGAGAGGCCTCCAGCGGCAGCCTGCGCCTCCTGGTGTCCGCCGACCAAGGACTGCAGTGGCTGCGAGAGGACTCTGACAAGGTTTGTGTTTAGACTGTAGGAGAGGGAGGGAGGAGGGGGGAGAGGAAGTAGAGAGGGGGAAGAGAGAGATAGAGAGAGGAGAGAGGGAAGGGAAGGGAAAGAGAGGGAGAGAGGAGCACAGAAAGGGGTAGGGAGAGAGAGAGAGGGAGGGAGAGAGCTGGAGAGGAGCAGAGAGGGGGAAAGAGGAGCAGCAAGGGAAAGAGGGGGGAGGGAGAAGAGCAGAGAGGGAGAGAGAAGCAGCAAAGGAAAGGGAGGGGGAGAGAGAAAGAGGGAGAGAAGCAGGGAGGGAGAGGAATAGAAAGACAAAGAGAGAGAGGGAGGGGTGGAGAGAGTGAGATAGAGGGTGACAGAGAGCAAGAGGCCAGTCCCTGTGCTCATCAGAGTCCCAGCAGGAGTCCAGTCCCTGTGCTCCTCAGAGTCCCAGCAGGAGGCCAGTCCCTGTGCTCCTCCAAGTCCCAGCAGGAGGCCAGTCCCTGTACTCCTCCAAGTCCCAGCAGGAGGCCAGTCCCTGTACTCCTCCAAGTCCCAGCAGGAGGCCAGTCCCTGTGCTCCTCTCAGTCTAGCACTTTTGGACAGAGATGAGGTTCTCCACTTGTTGTTTCAGGACGTTCAGCTCCTGTGTGACTTCCCGGACGTGGTTCACATCAGCGTGCAGCAGTCCACCAAAGACACGTCCACAGAGAGCCGCAGCGTCAGCATCAACAAGCAGGACGGCAAGAGTCTGGTGAGGGCGGGGCCGGGGGGCGGAGCCTGGGGGGCCGCACTTTCACACCACACACACCACTGTCCATGGTGGTCCTATCTCTCTACCTCTTTCCCTCTCTCTCTACCTCTCTCCCTCTCTCTATCTATATATCTTCCTCTACCTCTCTCCCTCTCTCTCTACCTTTCTCCCTCTCTCTTTCTACCTCTCTCCCTCTCTCTCTACCTTTCTTCCCTCTCTCTACCTCTCTCCCTCTCTCTCTACCTCTCTCCCCTCTCTCTACCTTTCTCCCTCTCTCTCTCTACCTCTCTCCCCTCTCTCTACCTCTCTCCCTCTCTCTCTACCTTTCTCCCTCTCTCTCTCTACCTCTCTCCCCTCTCTCTACCTCTCTCCCTCTCTCTCTACCTTTCTCCCTCTCTCTCTCTACCTCTCTCCCCTCTCTCTACCTCTCTCCCTCTCTCTCTACCTTTCTCCCTCTCTCTCTCTACCTCTCTCCCCTCTCTCTACCTTTCTCTCTCTCTCTCTCCAATCAGCTCTCAGCTCAAACAGACAAAATAGTAGCTCACAGTAGCTATATATATTATTTCTACCAAAATGAATACGGCATATTGTGGTCTGATCTATTCATAACATTTTACACAGAAATATGAAATGTATTTTTTTTGAATAAGAAACAAAAAGTTACATACACCAGCTTTAAAGGACACAACATTATTCCTCAGTCAGAAATAGACCGTGAATTTAGCTTTGTTTAAGTATCAGCCGTGTCTGGCACAAATGTTACTATCATCTTTCTCTCTCTTTCCCCCTCTGTTTCTTTCTTTCTCTCTCTGTATATATCTTTCTCTCTCTCTCTCACTCTCGCTCTCGCTCTCACTGTCACACACTCTCTCTCTTAAATTCTCTCTCTCTCTCAAACTCCCACTCTCCCCCCTCTCTCTCTTCCCCCCCTCCTTCTCTCCCTCTCCCTCTCTCCCTCTCATTCTCACACTCTCTCTCCCTCCCTCTCTCCCTCTCTCTCTCCGTGTTAATCTCTCTCTCTGATGTGTGTGTGCAGGAGGTGGAGTTCCAGAGTCTGGGGGAGGCCCTGTCCTTCGTCTCCCTGGTCGATGGTTACTACCGGCTCACTGCAGACGCACATCACTATCTGTGCAAAGAGGTGGCTCCTCCTAAACTCCTGGACGACATGTCTTCACACTGTCACGGCCCCATCAGGTCAGTCCATCACAGCAGCGGTCGTCTGGTCGATTACTCAACGGCAGATCAGAGAATCAGACTGTTCGGACACAGCAAATGCAATAATAATTAACACAGGAGCCATTGGTTCAAAGGGAGCGGGACCATAATGTGTAAAAATGTTTATAAATGTCCTGGATCATACATATATACTGTATCTGTATGTATCTCTCTCGCTCTCTCGCTCTCTCACTCTCTCGCTCTCTCTAACCATACACCAGCTTTAAAGGACATACATTATTCCTCAGTCAGAAATAGGTCGTGATTGTAGCTTTTTAAAATATCAATACTATTATCTTTCTATCTATCTTGTTAGCTTTCTCTCCCTCTCTATCTCTGTCTATGTCTATCTCTCTCTCTATCTCTGTCTATGTCGATCTCTCTCTCTCCCACTCTCTCCACCTCTGTATCTTTCTTTCTCTCTATCTATCTCTATTGCTCTCTGTCTGTGTCTATCTCTCTCTCTCTCTCTCTCTCTCTGTCTATGTCTGTCTCTCTCTCTCCCTCTCTTTCCCCTTCTGTATCTTCCTTTCTCTCTATCTCTCTCCCTCTCTCTCACTCTCACGCTCTCTCTCTCTCCCTTCCCCTCTACATCACTGTCCTTAGACGCTGCTGCATCAGAGAAACCTCGAACAGGTCCCAAAGAAGAGAGGGATAGATCCAGGACTAGCAAACATTGATAGTATGAGTTCTAGATAGGAGCAAGTTAAACTGGTGTTCCCAGAGGTTCCCCTTCACAGCACTAACCAGGCCCTGCCCTGCTGAGCTTCAGAGGTCTGACGGGATCTGTTTGTATGTGTGTGTTTTTGTTACAGCGTGGAGTTTGCTGTGAATCGACTCCAGAAATGTGGAAACAAACACGGATTGTTTGTTTTGCGAAACAGTCCGAAAGATTTCAACAAGTACTTCCTCACATTCCCAGTCAAGGTACATGTATATTATATGTATATTATAGAAGTATATTAAGTGTTTCCTGTGATCTCCAATGGCACATGTGTTAAAGAGAGTCCTGTGTGTCCAGGTTTACGACTTCACAGAATACAAACACTGTCAGATCACTCGGTCTGTGAGCGGAGACTTTAACCTCAGCGGCACCAAGAGGGTGTTCTGCAGCCTGCCACAGCTGCTGCAGTGTTACCAGAGAGAGACCGTCCGCTCCGACTCCGTGGTCTTCCAGTTCTCCCAGTGCTGCCCGCCCAAACCCAGAGGTACCAGTCTGTGCTCCTCTCTGTCTCGCTCCGTCTCTCTCCTTCAGTAAACAGATAAGAATTGAATTAATAACGCAATACTTCGACTGTATCCATTTACTGTGTGTAAAATATAGCGATACTGAACAGAATGTTTCCCACATGTCTGTTCTCTGTGGACCTCCAAACATATAAAGAACTGTGCGTGTGTGTCTGTGTGTGTGTTTGTGTGTGCGTGTGTGTGCGTGTGCGTGTGTGTGTGTGTTTGCAGAGCTGTCGTGCCTCCTGGTCTGTCGCAGCAACAAAGGATCAGAAGTGCCTCAGTCCACGTCTCTTGTGCGAAGGAACGTCAGCCAAATGGTGTTCCACAAAATACGGAAGGAAGACTTGGAATTTGTGTGTATTTTTTAATAACTTTAACATATTTTGGACCAAAACATGCATAACAGAAGGGGGTCTTGTGAGTGTGAGAAGTTCTCTGTCATCCATCCTGACCGCCAGAGGTTCTCACTCTGGGCGTCATCTGGGATTCATAGAACCGTGGTTACATGTGTAACCTTTTCTCATAACGCAATCGTACCAGAACATTCTTAGTTTTTCTCATTAGAAAATAGGAGATCTTTTCTTTAGTAGAAAGTGAGTCACTATTTGATGCTTTTTGATGTAAGAGCTTTCTTTGAATATTCTAAATTTGATGATATATTGAATATTTTTAAAAACAGAACAGCCCGAGGAGGTTACAGACTAATCCATGGTTCTGGTCTGTGTTGGGTCTGTGTCTGGTCTGTGTCTGTCAGATGGAGAGTCTGGGTCAGGGAACTTTCACCAAAATCTTCAAAGGAATTCGAAAGGAGCTGGGAGACTACGGCCACGTCCACCAGACAGACGTGGTCATGAAGGTCCTGGACCAGAACCACAGGAACTACTCCGAGGTCGGTAACACGCACAACACACACACACACACATGCAACACAAACATGCAACACACACACACAACACTCACATGCAACACACACACACAACATACTGATTAAATAGTATGTTTTTTAATAGTTTTCACAAATGTTTTTTCTTCTTCCAGTCGTTCTTTGAAGCTGCCAGCATGATGAGCCAACTGTCCCACAAACACCTGATCCTGAACTACGGCGTGTGTGTGTGCGGAGAAGAGAGTGAGTCCTGACAAAACACTGTCTCACTGTGACGCTCTCTCTCTGGTCCCTTTTACTCTGTCTCTGACCCGAGTCTGTCTCTGACCCGAGTCTGTCTCTGTCCTCAGTCCTTGGGTGTCTGACCCTGGTCTTTGGGTCTCTGTCTCTGTCCTCAGTCCTTGGGTCTCTGTCTCTGTCCTCAGACATCATGGTGCAGGAGTTTGTGAAGCACGGCTCTCTGGACACGTACCTGAAGAAGAACAAGAACACCATCAACATCCTGTGGAAGCTGCAGGTGGCCAAACAGCTGGCCTGGGCCATGCACTTCCTGGTACGACCCACACCATCACCCTCACTGCACACATGGTACCACAGAGACCATCACCCTCACTCTCTCTCTCTTTTTGTCTCTCTCCCTCTGTCTCTCTCTCCTTCTCTGTCCTTCTGGCTGTCTCTCTCTCTCTCTCTGTCCCTCTCTTCCTCTCTATCTCTCCCTCTCTCCATCTCCCTCTCTGTCTCTCTCTCTCCATCTCTCTCCTCTCTCTCTGTCCCTCTCTCTCTCTCTCTGTCTCTCTCTCTCTGTCTCTCCTCTTTCTCTCTCTGTGTCTCTCTCTCTGTGAGGGCTGGTGACCAAACGTTCCTGTGTTTGCAGGAGGAGAAGCACCTTGTTCACGGAAACGTCTGCGCCAAAAACGTGTTGTTGATCCGAGAGGAAGACCGTCGAACCGGGAACCCTCCATTCATCAAACTCAGCGACCCGGGGATCAGCGTCACCGTCCTGCCCAAAGAGAGTGAGTCAGAGAGAGAGGCCAGAGAAAGAGAGGGGCCAGAGAGTGAGAGAGGCCAGAGAGTGAGAGAGGCCAGAGAGTGAGAGAGGCCAGAGAGTGAGAGGGGCCAGAGAGTGAGAGAGGCCAGAGAGTGAGAGGGGCCAGAGAGAGGGAGAGAGGCCAGAGAGTGAGAGAGGCCAGAGAGTGAGAGGGGCCAGAGAGTGAGAGAGGCCAGAGAGTGAGAGAGGCCAGAGAGTGAGAGAGGCCAGAGAGTGAGAGAGGCCAGAGAGTGAGAGAGGCCAGAGAGTGAGAGAGGCCAGAGAGTGAGAGAGGCCAGAGAGTGAGAGAGGCCAGAGAGTGAGAGGGGCCAGAGAGTGAGAGGGGCCAGAGAGTGAGAGAGGCCAGAGAGTGAGAGAGGCCAGAGAGTGAGAGAGGCCAGAGAGTGAGAGAGGCCAGAGAGTGAGAGGGGCCAGAGAGTGAGAGAGGCCAGCGAGTGAGAGGGGCCAGCGAGTGAGAGGGGCCAGAGAGTGAGAGGGGCCAGACAGAGAGTGAGAGGGGCCAGACAGAGAGTGAGAGGGGCCAGACAGAGAGTGAGAGGGGCCAGACAGAGAGTGAGAGGGGCCAGACAGAGAGTGAGAGGGGCCAGACAGAGAGTGAGAGGGGCCAGACAGAGAGTGAGAGGGGCCAGACAGAGAGTGAGAGGGGCCAGACAGAGAGTGAGAGGGGCCAGACAGAGAGTGAGAGGGGCCAGACAGAGAGTGAGAGGGGCCAGACAGAGAGTGAGAGGGGCCAGACAGAGAGTGAGAGGGGCCAGACAGAGAGTGAGAGGGGCCAGACAGAGAGTGAGAGGGGCCAGACAGAGAGTGAGAGGGGCCAGACAGAGAGTGAGAGGGGCCAGACAGAGAGTGAGAGGGGCCAGACAGAGAGTGAGAGGGGCCAGACAGAGAGTGAGAGGGGCCAGACAGAGAGTGAGAGGGGCCAGACAGAGAGTGAGAGGGGCCAGAGAGAGAGTGAGAGGGGCCAGACAGAGAGTGAGAGAGGCCAGACAGAGAGTGAGAGGGGCCAGTGAGAGAGAGAGGGAGAGAGGCCAGAGAGTGAGAGGGGCCAGAGAGTGAGAGAGGCAGGCCAGAGAGTGTGAGAGAGAGAGGCCAGAGAGTGAGAGAGGGAGAGAGGCCAGATAGGGAGAGAGAACAGCGAGAAGGAGCGCGAGACCAGCGAGAGATACTAATGAATCAGCAGATTTCTTCCTATTCCACCCCCACTGTGTCTGTCTTCTCTCACTGTATTGTTTGTGTCAGTCCTCCTGGAGCGTGTGCCGTGGGTTCCTCCGGAGGTGGTCAGGGATCCCTCAGACCTGAGCCTGGCTGCAGACAAGTGGGGCTTCGGTGCAACTCTGTGGGAGGTCTGCTGCAACGGGGACCGGCCGTTAGCTTCGCTGGACCACGCTAAAGTAAGAGCTAACATCATCTACATCTACGTCTGCTCTCGTCTCTCTTCACTGGGTTTGTGTGAGACCCAGGACTGAGGCTGTAGATCCAGGACTGAGGCTGTAGATCCAGGACTGAGGCTGTAGATCCAGGACTGAGGCTGTAGATCCAGGACTGAGGCTGTAGATCCAGGACTGAGGCTGTAGATCCAGGACTGAGGCTGTAGACCCAGGACCGAGACTGTAGACCCAGGACTGAGACTGTAGACCCAGGACTGAGACTGTAGACCCAGTACTGAGGACTTTTGTTTTGTGTTTCAGAAAAAGCAGTTTTATCAGGATCGTCACCAGCTGCCGGCGCCGAAGTGGACTGAGCTGGCAAACCTGATCCACAGCTGCATGGACTACGACTCCTCACTCAGGCCCACGTTTAGAGCCGTGATCCGGGACCTCCACAACCTGTTCACTCCTGGTGAGAGAGAGAGAGAGAGAGGGAGCGACCAGTGACGAGAGAGAAAGAGACCAGTGGAGAGAGAGGCCAGGGGAGAAAGAGAGAGAGAGCAGAGGAGAGAGAGGCCAGAGGAGAAAGAGGCAGTGGGGAGAGAGGCCAGTGGAGAGAGAGGCCAGGGGAGAAAGAGAGAGAGAGCAGAGGAGAGAGAGGCCAGGGGAGAAAGAGAGAGAGAGCAGAGGAGAGAGAGGCAGTGGGGAGAGAGAGAGAGTGAGAGTGAGAGGCCAGTGGGCATAGAGAGAGTGAGGCCAGTGGAGAGAGAGAGAGAGAGTGAGAGGCCAGTGGAGAGAGAGAGAGAGAGTGTGAGAGGCCAGTGGGGAGAGAGAGAGTGAGGCCAGTGGAGAGAGAGAGAGATAGTGTGAGAGGCCAGTGGGGAGAGAGAGAGTGAGGCCAGTGGAGAGAGTGAGAGTGAGAGGCCAGTGGGGAGAGAGGCGTTCTGCTCCCAGTTTGTTTTGTTTTACTTTCATTCAAACCTCTACCAACATGGACGCCTCAGACACACAGCGCCACTTTAACCTGTGTCCCTCAGATTACGAGTTGATCGTGGACAGCGACATCCTTCCAAACCGCTCGGGCACCAGTGGATGGGCATCTGGGGGTTTGGACAGTCAGGAGCCCGCGCAGTTCCAAGAGAGACACCTCATCTTCTTACAGCAGTTGGGAAAAGTAAGTATTTACCATGTTCGATAATGACTGTCTCCACACGGACTAGAGGCCACCCGCAGTACTGCAGCATACATCCACATGGACTAGAGGCCACCCGCAGTACTGCAGCCTACATCCACATGGACTAGAGGCCACCCGCGGTACTGCAGCCTACATCCACATGGACTAGAGGCCACCCGCGGTACTGCAGCCTACATCCACATGGACTAGAGGCCACCCGCGGTACTGCAGCCTACATCCACATGGACTAGAGGCCACCCGCGGTACTGCAGCCTACATCCACATGGACTAGAGGCCACCCGCGGTACTGCAGCCTACATCCACATGGACTAGAGGCCACCCGCAGTACTGCAGCCTACATCCACATGGACTAGAGGCCACCCGCGGTACTGCAGCCTACATCCACATGGACTAGAGGCCACCCGCGGTACTGCAGCCTACATCCACATGGACTAGAGGCCACCCGCGGTACTGCAGCCTACATCCACATGGACTAGAGGCCACCCGCAGTACTGCAGCCTACATCCACATGGACTAGAGGCCACCCGCGGTACTGCAGCCTACATCCACATGGACTAGAGGCCACCCGCAGTACTGCAGCCTACATCCACATGGACTAGAGGCCACCCGCGGTACTGCAGCCTACAGGCACATGGACTAGAGGCCACCCGCGGTACTGCAGCCTACATCCACATGGACTAGAGGCCCACCTGCGGTACTGCAGCCTACATCCACATGGACTAGAGGCCACCCGCGGTACTGCAGCCTACATCCACATGGACTAGAGGCCACCCGCGGTACTGCAGCCTACAGGCACATGGACTAGAGGCCACCCGCGGTGGAGAAGGGGAGAGAGAGTGAGAGGCCTGTGGAGAGGGAGTGAGAGGCCAGTGGAGAGGGAGTGAGAGGCCTGTGGAGAGGGAGTGAGAGGCCTGTGGAGAGAGAGTTGGAGAGAGAATGACTAGAGGCCACCCGCGGTACTGCAGCCTACATCCACATGGACTAGAGGCCACCCGCAGTACTGCAGCCTACATCCACATGGACTAGAGGCCACCCGCGGTACTGCAGCCTACATCCACGCGGACTAGAGGCCACCCGCAGTACTGCAGCCTAAATCCACATGGACTAGAGGCCACCCGCAGTACTGCAGCCTAAATCCACATGGACTAGAGGCCACCTGTGGTACTTCAGTCTAAACCACATGGACTGAAAGGAAATTTCCCCATAGACCTCAGTGTCACTATAACAGATTTCTCTCTGGTTTCCCTCTGGTCCCCCATTTTGGTCTCTCTCTGGTGTCTCTCTCTCTCTCTGGTCTCTCTCCCTCTCTCTGGTTTCTCTCTCTGGTTTCTCCCTCTCTGGTCCCTCCCTCTGGTCCCTCCCTCTGGTCCCTCCCTCTGGTCTCCCTCTGGTCTCCCTCTGGTCTCCCTCTGGTCTCCCTCTGGTCTCCCTCTGGTCTCCCTCTGGTCTCCCTCTGGTCTCTCTCGGGTCTCTCTCGGGTCTCTCTGGTCTTTCTCTGGTCTCTCTCTGGTCTCCCTCTGGTCTCCCTCTGGTCTCCCTCTGGTCTCTCTGGTCTTTCTCTGGTCTCCCTCTGGTCTCCCTCTGGTCTCTCTCGGGTCTCTCTGGTCTCTCTCTGGTATCCCTCTCATCTCACTCTGGTCTCTCTCCCTCTTGTGTCTCTCTGGCCTCTCTCTGCTCTCCTCAGTGACTGTAAACTGATTTAGTATTAGTCTGAAATGATTGCTTTTGCTGTAGACAAAGGTCTGATGTCTTTTCTTCCTCAGGGAAACTTTGGCAGCGTGGAGATGTGCCGCTACGACCCCCTGCAGGACAACACGGGGGAGGTGGTGGCCGTGAAGAAGCTTCAGCACAGCAGCGCCGAGCACATGCGAGACTTTGAGCGAGAAATCCAGATCCTCAAGTCTCTGCAGCACGAGAACATCGTCAAGTACAAGGGCGTCTGTTATAGTGCGGGTGAGGAGGACAAAGCATAGACTGTATTCAGATGCTAATGCTAACACAGACTGTATACAGATGGACAATGCTAACACACGCACAGATAGCATATGACGCTAACATGTCACAGATGTACTTTGGTTTAGCTCTCTCTATGATCCTGGTGTTTATTTTGTCATACTGTATTGTAAATCCCGATGTGAGCCATATAAGGATTGACCAATCAGAGGCCTTCATTTCAATATTGCTCATTCCAATCCTCTGTAATGTTCCCAGGACGTCGGAACCTTCACCTCATCATGGAGTACCTGCCGTTCGGAAGTCTTCGAGATTACCTCATGAAAAACAAGGAGAGGATCGACCACAACAAGCTTCTGCTCTACACCGCCCAGATCTGCAAGGTCTGTGCTGCTCCCACTGGGTCTGAACCAGAGACTGTAGGTCATGGTCTCAGACCTGGATCTGAACCAGAGACTGTAGGTCATGGTCTCAGACCTGGATCTGAACCAGAGACTGTAGGTCATGGTCTCAGACCTGGATCTGAACCAGAGACTGTAGGTCATGGTCTCAGACCTGGATCTGAACCAGAGACTGTAGGTCATGGGCCTCAGACCTGGATCTGAACCAGAGACTGTAGGTCATGGTCTCAGACCTGGATCTGAACCAGAGACTGTAGGTCATGGGCCTCAGACCTGGATCTGAACCAGAGACTGTAGGTCATGGGCCTCAGACCTGGATCTGAACCAGACTGTAGGTCATGGGCCTCAGACCTGGATTTGAACCAGAGACTGCAGGTCATGGGCCTCAGACCTGGATCTGAATCAGACTGTAGGTCATGGGCCTCAGACCTGGATCTGAACCAGAGACTGCAGGTCATGGGCCTCAGACCTGGATCTGAACCAGAGACTGTAGGTCATGGGCCTCAGACCTGGATTTGAACCAGAGACTGCAGGTCATGGGCCTCAGACCTGGATCTGAACCAGAGACTGTAGGTCATGGTCTCAGACCTGGATCTTAACCTGAGACTGTAGGTCATGGTCTCAGACCTGGATCTGAATCAGACTGTAGGTCATGGGCCTCAGACCTGGATCTGAACCAGAGACTGTAGGTCATGGGCCTCAGACCTGGATCTGAACCAGAGACTGCAGGTCATGGGCCTCAGACCTGGATCTGAACCAGAGACTGTAGGTCATGGGCCTCAGACCTGGATCTGAACCAGAGACTGTAGGTCATGGGCCTCAGACCTGGATCTGAACCAGAGACTGTAGGTCATGGGCCTCAGACCTGGATCTGAACCAGAGACTGTAGGTCATGGGCCTCAGACCAGGATCTGAACCAGACTGTAGGTCATGGGCCTCAGACCTGGATTTGAACCAGAGATTGTAGGTCATGGTCTTCTCTGGTCCTGAAAGAGACTGAAAAAGCAGATAAATATGTGACCAAACCTACGTTGATGTTAATACCAGTGATGGAAGCAACTGTTTTAGAGCATTTCAGTAGCCTAGCTTTAAATCCCCTCTTTATCTCTGCAGGGCATGGAGTACTTGTCCAGTAAGCGCTACATCCACAGAGACCTGGCCACACGCAACATCCTGGTGGAGAGCGAGCTGAGGGTGAAGATCGGAGACTTCGGACTCACCAAAGTACTGCCTCAGGACAAGGAGTACTACATGGTGGAAGAGCCGGGAGAGAGCCCCATCTTCTGGTCTGTGTTCTGTAGACCTAGGGCTGAGGCTGTAGACCCAGGACTGAGGCTGTAGACCCAGGACTGAGGCTGTAGTGGACCCAGGACTGAGGCTGTAGTGGACCCAGGACTGAGGCTGTAGACCCAGGGCTGAGGCTGTAGACCCAGGGCTGAGGCTGTAGACCCAGGGCTGAGGCTGTAGACCCAGGGCTGAGGCTGTAGACCCAGGACTGAGGCTGTAGACCCAGGGCTGAGGCTGTAGACCCAGGGCTGAGGCTGTAGACCCAGGACTGAGGCTGTAGACTCAGGGCTGAGGCTGTAGTGGACCCAGGACTGAGGCTGTAGTGGACCCAGGACTGAGCTGTAGTGGACCCAGGACTGAGGCTGTAGTGGACCCAGGACTGAGCTGTAGTGGACCCAGGACTGAGGCTGTAGTGGACCCAGGACTGAGGCTGTAGTGGACCCAGGACTGAGGCTGTGGTCTTGTGCAGGTACGCTCCAGAGTCTCTCACAGACAGTAAGTTCTCCGTTGCCTCAGACGTGTGGAGTTTTGGAGTGGTGCTTTACGAGCTCTTCACTCACAGCCACAAGAACAACAGTCCTCCTGCGGTGAGTCCAGTTTATTTATGGTACACACGCACACACACACAGACATACACGCACACACACACACACACAGAGGAGGCTGCAGGTCTTCACTCTCAGCCTCCGTCTCCATGCAGGTGTTCATGTCGATGATGGGAAACGACAAACAGGGACAGCTCATCGTCTACCACCTGATCCAGCTGCTGAGGTCTGGAAGCAGACTCTCCCAACCCCCAGGGTGCCCCCCCGAGGTAAGAGAGCATAGAGAGAGCATAGAGAGAGAGCATAGAGAGAGCATAGAGAGAGCAGAGAGAGAGAGCATAGAGAGAGCATAGAGAGAGCATAGAGAGAGAGCATAGAGAGAGCAGAGAGAGAGCATAGAGAGAGAGCATAGAGAGAGCATAGAGAGAGAGCATAGAGAGAGCAGAGAGAGAGCATAGAGAGAGCATAGAGAGAGAGCATAGAGAGAGAGCAGAGAGAGAGCATAGAGAGAGAGCATAGAGAGAGCATAGAGAGAGAGCATAGAGAGAGCATAGAGAGAGAGAGCAGAGAGAGAGCATAGAGAGAGAGCAGAGAGAGAGCATAGAGAGAGAGAGCAGAGAGAGAGCATAGAGAGAGAGCAGAGAGAGAGAGCATAGAGAGAGCATAGAGAGAGAGCAGAGAGAGAGCATAGAGAGAGCATAGAGAGAGAGCATAGAGAGAGAGCAGAGAGAGAGAGCAGAGAGAGAGAGCAGAGAGAGAGAGCAGAGAGAGAGCAGAGAGAGAGCAGAGAGAGAGAGAGAGCGTAGAGAGACCGAGGCTGTAGACCCAGGACCGAGGCTGTAGACCCAGGACTGAGGCTGTAGATCCAGGACCGAGGCTGTAGACCCAGGACCGAGGCTGTAGACCCAGGACTGAGGCTGTAGATCCAGGACCGAGGCTGTAGATCCAGGACCGAGGCTGTAGATCCAGGACCGAGGCTGTAGATCCAGGACCGAGGCTGTAGACCCAGGACCGAGGCTGTAGACCCAGGACCGAGGCTGTAGACCCAGGACCGAGGCTGTAGACCCAGGACCGAGGCTGTAGACCCAGGACCGAGGCTGTAGACCCAGGACCGAGGCTGTAGATCCAGGACCGAGGCTGTAGATCCAGGACCGAGGCTGTAGACCCAGGACCGAGGCTGTAGACCCTAGTCCAACCTGTTTGTTTCTCAGATGTATGAGATCATGGAGGAATGCTGGGACAACGATCCCGGTCTGCGTCCGTCTTTCAACGAGCTTTCCCTGAGAGTGGAACTGTTCAGAGACACTCAGGAGGTCTGAGGCCGTGGGAGAAACCCTCTGCTGGACCAAGACCAGATCTTAAACTACTGCCCAGGTGCCTTCGAGCAAGGGACTCTCCGGAAGTGCCCAGTGCCACAAGTGCCCTGCTCTGTTGGGTCCGAACGACCATCTGGTACTAAAGTCACTGCAGTTGCCACGGGTTACCGGGTCACGTTCTTAAAAGTAACCCGCCATAAGCAAAGTCCGAGAAGGAGCAGCTGCTTGTTTGAAGATGAAAGAAAAGAGAGAACCTTTATGTGTCCACAGTGGGAGATTCTGGACTGCAGCAACTTACAGGAGAGAGTGAGAGCACACAATATGTTAAGAGACAGATATGTCTTTTTCTCTGGTCTCTCTCTGGCCTCTCTCTCTGCTCTCTCTCTCTGCTCTCTCTCTCTGCTCTCTCTCTCTGCTCTCTCTCTTGTCTCTCTCTCTGCTCTCTCTCTCTGCTCTCTCTCTTGTCTCTCTCTCTGCTCTCTCTCTTGTCTCTCTCTGGTCTCTCTCTCTGGGCTCTCTCTCTGCTCTCTCTCTTGTCTCTCTCTCTCTGCTCTCTCTCTCTGCTCTCTCTCTTGTCTCTCTCTCTGCTCTCTCTCTCTGCTCTCTCTCTCTGCTCTCTCTCTTGTCTCTCTCTCTGCTCTCTCTCTTGTCTCTCTCTGGTCTCTCTCTCTGGGCTCTCTCTCTGCTCTCTCTCTTGTCTCTTTCAAACAGAGACTTATTTAAACCCGTGCAGCCATAGTGTCGGTAAGAAGACCTGTGGAGACTGTGAACAAGGATCGCCAGGAATAAAGCTAGAGACTATTGTATCAAAAAGTGTGTGTGTGTGTGTGCGTGTGTGGGTGTCTCTGTGTGTGTGTGTGTGTGTGTGTCTCTGTGTGTGTGTGTGTGTGTGAGGGTAAGCTGGGCTCGATCCTCCCACTCCATGTTGTCGTCCTGCAGAATAAGTGTGTGTAAATATTGTATGTTGTGTACATAATTAAGCCGATATTTTAATTTTATAAAAGTCCAAATGGTAAAAGTCTGTATTTGAGCTTGATGTGAAAACCCGATGCCAGATGTTTGTTACTATTGTCGGAAAACTGTGTGGAATTAAAAAAGTGATTCAAAGTCTGAGCTCCTCTTTACCACAATCTTTTATTAAGGTTTTGTTTCTATACTGTACACAATTCAATGTAATGTCTTTTTGTATCGCCCTTAATCCCAACAGTAGTACTCGCTGAGGATTCGCCAATAACAGATCAGAGAATCAATCAGTCCTGCATCGACGGCAATACAATACGTCCATACGATTTCAACAAACATTTCTGCTGTATTTCAAGTTTTAGCACTAGGTAAAAGTCAGTAAAGGTACAAAACCTTAAATAAATATCTTACTTTTAATACATCCGTTGAAAAACTAATCTTTTTGGGGCCAATTTCTCAGAGTTCGTTGGGTTTGAATGATAGCAGTCAAAATGACGGCTCTGGTAGTGCTAGCGTTCAACAGTGATTATATTTCAGATTACAAAAGGTCTATTACAAACCACCAGTTAACTTCCTGTTTTAGCTGGAAGTTACCTGCTGGTTAATAAGCTTCATGCTTATTTTGAAAGGCCATTTCCAGTTCACGTGCCGCCCATATGAACCACTGTGTCAAATTTAAAACGTGATTATATGTCAGTATTATATTTTTTTTCATTGTCCAAGATCAATAATTATATGTTCACCACTCCAACTGCTCCCACTAATGTCTACTGTCGTTGTGTCCTTGGGCAAGACACTTAACCTCACATTGCCTGAAACGCCCGTTGAAACACTAGCGGGACTGATGAGAAAATTTTCACTTCCTGTTTTATAAATCTATTCTGTTATTTTGAATGCTCATTTCTGGTTCACCATGTTACCTATATTATTTTTCAGTGTATACGTTATTTATTCCTATTTTTCATTTAAAATACCAATCTTTCAGCGTAAACATCGTCCACTCTCAATAATTATCAGTTCACTTCCTGTTTTACAATATTTGCTCTTATTTTGAAGGGTAACTTCCGGGTTGGGTTTCACTGGCTTGACACCGCCAAAGCCGTTAGCATCAGTAAATATAACGGGAGGTGTGGAAGTGTCACAGATGGAGACGGGACCTGAAGTTTATTTTAACTTAAAACTAGTTTATTTTGAAAGGCTGTTCTTCTAGAGGTGAGTTTTAACCATGGATGTATTGGTTTTAACGGTGACCTGAAACCGTAGATGGGTTTAGTTCTGACCGTAGACCGTAAATAGTGACGCAGGCGCACGTAGCGGCGTAAACACATAGAGCTGTATCCGTGAGGTATGTTGTAATGTGTGTATAAAAGTACACACTAGTCATACAAGTAGGAGTAGTTAATATTAGTTTTATGTTTTCGAACTTAATGACAAAAACGTCTGTAAAGGAGTTTAATTAAGTAGCCCACCTTTTAACAAATTATTTACTTATTTTTATTTTTTATTGTTATGCTAAAGCTAGAGTTTATACTTGCTTCTTTATGATGCTAAAGCTAGTGATTTTCTACATGCTTATTCTTTATTATAATTCTAAAAATAATGCATTGGTTTTATACAGCGCTTTTTTGACTCTCAAAGACACTTTACATGTCATTATTTATTAACACCAAACACTGGTGATAAACTACTACAGTAACCACAGCTGCCCTGGGACACACTGACAGAAGCGAGGCAACCAGTCTGTGCCATCAGCCACCACCACCAACCATTCACACACACACCAGACTCATTCTAATGTGGGGGAAGTGTCTTGCCTAAAGACACAACCACAGTTTGGCACTTTACAGCCACAGCCGCCCCACTGTGGCACCTGCTGTTCCTAGAGGTCTCCCATCACAGTATTAACCAGGTCCTGGCCTGCTTAGCTTCAGAGGTCTGACGGGATCTGGCTTTCCTATAGGTATGACCACAAATATGTTAAATTAATAGCTATTTCATTTTATTTTAGTAGAGAGTTATTGTTCTTTATCTTTTGCTGTTTGCCCCTCATTTCTACTGCTCTGTGACTGGTACTGCAACACTGAAATTTACTAGGACTGAGGCTGTAGACCCAGGACTGAGGCTGTAGACCCAGGACTGAGGCTGTAGACCGAGGACTGAGGCTGTAGATCCAGGACTGAGGCTGTAGACCGAGGACTGAGGCTGTAGACCCAGGACTGAGGCTGTAGACCCAGGACTGAGGCTGTAGATCCAGGACTGAGGCTGTATACCCAGGACTGAGGCTGTAGATCCAGGACTGAGGCTGTAGACCGAGGACTGAGGCTGTAGACCCAGGACTGAGGCTGTAGACACAGGACTGAGGCTGTAGACCGAGGACTGAGGCTGTAGACCGAGGACTGAGGCTGTAGACCCAGGACTGAGGCTGTAGACCGAGGACTGAGGCTGTAGACCCAGGACTGAGGCTGTAGACCCAGGACTGAGGCTGTAAACCCACACTTATCTCTTTGATGGCAGTGGTCCAGGCTGCCCCTCTGACCTGGACCATGCCCCAGGCCAGCCCTCCTGACAGGGGGTATGGCTGGGTGGTGGTGGCCTCAGCCTTCTGGGTCATGGGTCTCACGGCTGCGGTGCTGAAGAACTCGGGCCTCTTCTTCCTCCACATCCAGGAGCATTACGGCCTCCAGAGCAGCGCCACCTCCTGGATCACCGCCTGCACCGTCGCCATGTTCCACCTCGGAGGTAAACGACACAAGCCCGTTTCACACTGTCGACCTGGGACTAGAGAGGGAAAGGTGGGCGTGTTGTTTGGAACCGTGTCCGCTTTTCACCACGGGGAAGACTGTAAAGTGTTCAGACTTTAAAAATACGTTTTCTAAAGCCGGAAGACCAAAGAAAGTGACCAGAGAGAGAGACCAAAGAAAGTGACCAGAGAGAGAGACCAGGGAGAGAGACCAGAGAGAGACACCAGAGAGAGTGACCAGAGATCATTCCCACGGCAAGTGTTTCTACCATGTGGAGCAAACTAAGTTCTTTCAAACACACAACTGGTCTGGGTCTTGTTAACCAAAAAATGCAGTTTTGACTTTGCAGGTAAAAAGCAAATGGTGAATAGCTTGGAAAAAAAACAAAAAACAATCCAAGGCACTCGTGATCAGTGGTTTAGAATTTTTTTTTAAAAGCCTTTATTTACTCATGGCTGTGGATTAAAATACGCACCAACGGGTTTCAGCCCAGCTTGGCCTTCTTCAGGGTGCAGATGGTGGCACCAGTGACCATGTGAATCATATAGGGAGGGGCTTCATTAGGCCCTCCTCTAAACATGCACTGGTGTATTTACATCAGGAATACAATGCACACAGAAAAAAGTGAAAAGAACACATATTTACAATTATATTACAGTATATTATATACATTTGCTGGAAGTGTAGAGGTAATATCTGTAAAACAGGTAATAGAGCAGATAACCTAGAGGGCACAGGCTTCCTACTGTACACACTGTTCCACAAATAAAAATAAAAACAAAATCATCTCATAAATCACATTACACATACACGTACACATTCAAAGGAATGGTGAAAAGTCAGTTTCGTCATTGAGTCCGGGAAAGGATGTGGCGTTCAGATTGACAATCCAAAATGTCTCACGCTGCAGCAGGTGGGTAAGTCTATCTCCGCCTCTGAGTGATTTTGGTCTGGGTCTTGTGTTGGTCTTGGTCCTTATTTGTAACCTTGCCTGCAAGCTGAATTCTCGCGGTATTTGTGAGTTCACAAACACTCGAGAATACATCTTGTACCGCTCCCGCTTACACTTTTCGAGTCGAACCACTGGGTGTGCGAGCCAATCACGCGCCAGTCTGGGGGTGTGGGCGGGATATCCGGGTTTGACGAAAGCAAGAAGTGCCGGGCCGAAGCAAAACAAACATGGCTACGCAGGAAGACGGACGCGTAGCTGAGGCTATCAGGTCAGTTTTAGCAGAATCTCCAATTTCTTTTTTGAAAGATGAACAGCGAGAGGCGCTTTGTGCATTTCTGGACGGCAAAGATGTTTGTGCATTTTTATCTACGGGTTTTGTCAAACCTTGGTAGGCGGGCACACAGCGTCACTTCGCCCAATCAGCTTCAAGTATTCTGCTGCTTATCCCTCCTTTCCCCGAAAGGATTCTCCGGGAGAAATCCCAGATTGATATCGCGGAGAACGCGTTAGAGTTCTACACAATCATCAATCTGGCTCTTGCCAGGTTACCTTATTTGGTCCGAATCTTGGTTCAGGTCCTGGGTCTTGATAGTATCTTGTATTGATGTTTTGTGTCTCTCAGGTCCAGTGGCCAGTGCTCTGACCCTGAGGTTCTCCCAGAGACCGGTCATCATCTGTGGAGGCCTCCTCTGCTCCGCCGGGATGATCCTCTCTGCTTTAGACACCACTCTGCCCTGTCTCTACCTCAGCCTGGGAGTCCTGCAAGGTACTCACACACACAAATGTATATACACACATATATATACACACACACACAAATGTATACACACATACACACACTCACACACTGTGGCCCTCCTGACGGACCCTGCCATGAGCCAGTGCATCCAGACCCTGGATCTATAATAATATCTGGATAAAGTATTACAGTTTATAGCTGTACCAACAATGGCCCGGGCGGTGGATGGGCCATCGGGTCATGGGCCGTCTGCTCATGGGGCTCGGCGCGGGAACTTTCCCCCGTCTCAGGCTCCACTGCGGCCCAGTTGTCGCCCCCCCCCAGGCCCACTAAAGCCGGGGCCGGCGGTGGGACGGTTTACCCCGGGACAACTCGGTTACTGGAGGGCCAAATCTCCCGATGCATGGGTTGTGGCCACTTTGTCCGTGGGGTATCGTCTCCAGTTCCGCCGCCGGCCTCCTGTTCCCGGCCGGGTCCTTGTGACTGTCATTCACGTCCCGATTGCTCCTCAGCAATGCCGGTTCCTTCGTTTCGCCTTTAAGGGGAGGCACTTCCAGTTCAGGGTGCTTCCTTTCGGCCTCTCGCTCTCTCCTCGGGTCTTTATGAGATGCGTGGCGGCGGCTCTTTCCCCGTTGCAGGCCAGGGGGTTGAGGATCCTGCTCTATCTGGACGATTGGCTGATCTGTGCCCCCACTTGCGAGCAGTCTCTGCGGGATACGCAGGCTGTGATAGAGCACGTGACCAGGTTGGGTCTACGAGTGAACCTGGCGAAGAGCAATGTGGTGCCGTCTCAGCAGGCTTTGTTCCTGGGCATGGCTCTGGATTCCCTGTCCGCCCGCCCCTCGCTTCGACGTGTCGGGGACATTCGGGCGTTGCTCCCGGGCTTCCGTCGAGGACGGTCGCTCCCTTATCTGACGTTCCTCAGGCTCCTGGGCATGCTGATTGCAGCCTCATCTGTGGTCCCCCTGGGTCTTTTGTCCTTGCGCCCGCTGCAGATGTGGCTCGTTGGCCTGGGGCTGGACCCGGCCAATCCTGTTCACAGGCGTCGGCGGTTACTGGTGTCTCCTCAGTGTATGGAGTCACTGTCCCGGTGGCGCGACGAGGCGTTCGTGTTGACGGGCGTCGTGCTGGGTCCCCTGCCGTCCCGCCGGGAGGTGGTGCATACGGATGCGTCCCTGACAGGGTGGGGCGCAACGTGGCAGGGGCGTGTGGTTCAGGGTGTTTGGCCGGTGCGGCAGAGGGGGCTCCATATCAACGTCCTGGAGCTCCTGGCCGTTCAGCTTGCGCTGTGCCATTTCCTTCCGGTCCTGCGGGGGCGGCATGTGTTGGTGCGGTCGGACAACACCAGTGTGGTCTATTACATCAACCACCAGGGGGGAACTCGGTCAGAGTGCTTGCTGGTAGTGGCACGAGGGCTGTTAACTTGGGCCTATCCCCGTCTTGCGGGTTTGACTGCGATGCACATCCCAGGGATTCTGAATGTGTCGGCGGACTTCCTGTCGCGCCACGTTTCGCTGCCGGGCGAGTGGTGGCTACACCCGGAAGTAGTGGTCTGCATTTGGGGGTTGCTCAGGTGTGTCTCTGTGGCCGGATGTGTCCTTTGTCCCGAAGATGTCTTCTGGTCGATATGACGGGCCCCTTCAATTGGCCCGTTTTGGTTCTGGTGAGCCCCCTGACCCTCTGTGCCCTGTTCGTGCACTGGAGGTGTACATTCGCTCCACGGCCTCAATAAGGCGTTCAGATGCCCTGTTTGTCTGCTGTCACAACCCCGACGACCCAGTGACAGAGGCCTATGCCTTGCGGGGGCTGCCGTTACCGCCTGGGGTGAGGTGCCATTCTACGAGGGGCATGTCAACTTCGTGGGCTGCTGTGAGTGGTGTGTCGTTGGACGTCATCTGTGCGGCGGCGTCATGGTCGTCCCCAAGCACCTTCGCCAGGTTTTATCGGGTTAATGTTGCCGCCCCGCACCCCCTGCAGGGGGTTCTGCGGCACCGCTTATCTGTTTCACAGTATGCTGATATTCGTCATCCAGTGCTTAAGCACCGCCTCTGGCGGTCAGGTAGGATGAAATAGAACGAGAGTTACGACTGTAACTACGCTTCTATGAATCCTGGATGACCGCCAGAGCGCCCGGTCCCTCGGAATCCTTGCGCGAGAAAGGTTCTAGGGACTGTGCTTCCGGTGTCACGTGGCTTTATAGACTCTCGCGTGAGCTACCGGAGGTCACGGGTGACTTTGTTGTTATTTGACTCACGACCTGTGCATGCGCAAGGATGATCATCCAGTGCTTAAGCACCGCCTCTGGCGGTCATCCAGGATTCATAGAACCGTAGTTACAGTCGTAACTCTCGTTTCCCAGAAAGTGTTTTGAAAGTCAGGTACCTCAGCTTTAACTAACCCTGACTTCCTGTGCGTAGGCGTCGGCATCTCCTTCTCCTGGATCCCGGCCAACAGTGCGGTGAGCCACTACTTCTCGCGCTGGCGTCCCGTGGCGTACGCCGTGGCCTCTTCGGGCGAGTGCGTCTTCGCCATCGCCTTCGGCCCCTTCTTCCAGTGGCTCATCCAGACGTACGGCTGGAGAGGCGCGCTCCTCGTCATCGGAGGCCTCCAGCTCAACATCTGTGTTTGCGGAGCTCTGATGCGCCCGCTGCACCTCAGAAAGAGAGCACCGGGCAGCAGCGAGAGAGCACCGGATAGCATCGAGAGAGCATCGAGCAGCAGCGAGAGAGCACAAACCAGCAGAGACCTCGCCTGCCAGAGCTCTCCGTCCCTCATCACGCTTCTTAAAAAGCCCGAGCTCTTGCTGTACATTGCGTTCGCCGTGTTGGCCGCAGCCGGGATTTTTACGCCTCTGGTCTTCCTGGTCCCGTTCGCTCACAGCCTCGGCCTGCACCAGTTCTGGCCCGCGTCGGTGCTGTCGCTGGTGGCGCTGGCGGACCTCACCGGGAGGCTGGCGTGCGGCTGGACGGCGAACCTGGGACGGTGGAGGACCCTGCGGCTTCTGGCGGTCGCCGTGGTGATGCTGGGTGTGACGCTGATGCTGCTGCCCGTGGGCGCGGCCTCTCTGAGCGCCGTGTTGGTGCTCACCGCGCTCTACGGCTTCCTGTTCGGCTGCGTGGTCGCCGTGCATGTGACCGCCATCGTGGACGTGGTGGGGCTGCGGGGGTTTGACGGCGCCCTGGGGCTGTTCATGCTGTTCAGGAGTGTGGGGGGCTGCGCCGGACCGCCACTGGCAGGTGAACGCACAACTGTGAACGCACACAACTGGAAACGCACGACCGTGGACGCACGACTGTGGACGCACGACTTTGGACGCACGACTGTGGACGCACGACTGTGAACGCACACAACTGTGAACGCACGACTGTGAACGCACGACTGTGGACGCACGACTGTGAACGCACGACTGTGAACGCACGACTGTGGACGCACGACTGTGAACGCACGACTGTGGACGCACGACTGTGAACGCACGACTGTGGACGCACGACTGTAAATGCACGACTGTAAACGCACGACTGTGGACGCACGACTGTAAACGCACGACTGTGGACGCACGACTGTAAACGCATGACTGTGGACGCACGACTGTAAAAGTACGACTGTGAACGCACGACTGTAAAAGTACGACTGTGAACGCACGACTGTAAACGCACGACTGTGGACGCACGACTGTGGACGCACGACTGTGAACGCACACAACTGTGAACGCACGACTGTGGACGCACGACTGTGGACGCACAACTGTGGATGCACGACTGTGAACGCACGACTGTGGACGCACGACTGTGAACGCACGACTGTAAATGCACGACTGTAAACAAACGACTGTGGACGCACGACTGTAAACGCACGACTGTGGACGCACGACTGTAGATGCACGACTGTAAACGCACGACTGTGGACGCACGACTGTAAACGCACGACTGTAAACGCACGACTGTAAACGCACGACTGTAAACGCACAACTGTGGACGCACGACTGTAAACCCACGACTGTGGACGCACGACTGTAAAAGTACGACTGTGAACGCACGACTGTAAACGCACGACTGTGGACGCACGACTGTAAACGCACGACTGTGGACGCACGACTGTAAACGCACGACTGTGGACGCACGACTGTAAACGCACGACTGTGGACGCACGACTGTAAATGCACAACTGTAAACGCACGACTGTGGACGCACGACTGTGGACGCACGACTGTAAACGCACGACTGTGGACGCACGACTATAAATGCACGACTGTAAACGCACGACTGTGGACGCACGACTGTAAACGCACGACTGTGGACGCACGACTGTAAATGCACGACTGTAAACGCACGACTGTGAACGCACGACTGTAAAAGTACGACTGTGAACGCACGACTGTAAAAGTACGACTGTGAACGCACGACTGTAAAAGTACGACTGTGAACGCACGACTGTAAAAGTACGACTGTGAATGCACGACTGTGAACGCACGACTGTGAACGCACGACTGTGAACGCACGACTGTGAACGCACGACTGTAAAAGTACAACTGTGGACGCACGACTGTAAAAGTACGACTGTGAACGCACGACTGAGAACGCACGACTGTGAACGCACGACTGTAAAAGTACGACTGTGAACGCACGACTATAAATGCACGACTGTAAAACGCACGACTGTGGACGCACGACTGTAAACGCACGACTGTGGACGCACGACTGTAAATGCACGACTGTAAACGCACGACTGTGAACGCACGACTGTAAAAGTACGACTGTGAACGCACGACTGTAAAAGTACGACTGTGGACGCACGACTGTAAAAGTACGACTGTGAACGCACGACTGTGAACGCACGACTGTGAACGCACGACTGTGAACGCACGACTGTGAACGCACGACTGTAAAAGTACAACTGTGGACGCACGACTGTAAAAGTACGACTGTGAACGCACGACTGAGAACGCACGACTGTGAACGCACGACTGTGAACGCACGACTGTGAACGCACGACTGTAAACGCACAACTGTGAACGCACAAATGTGAACGCACGACTGTAAAAGTACGACTGTGGACGCACGACTGTGAACTGTAGGATTTAAGGTTGGTTGTTTGTAGGTAGGTTGGCAGGCAGGTAGATCGTCTAATGCTATCTGTCTGTTGTTGCAGGCCTCCTGGTGGACCACACGGGGAACTACAGCGCTGCCTTCTCTTTGGCCGGTCTCTGTCTGGTCTCGTCCTCGGTCTTCGTGGTCCTGGTCGACCGCAGGGTTCAGAGGAGGGACTCCATCCTCACGCAGACCACAGAGACCCACATATGAACAGACTCATCCTCTGCTGGTCCAGGAGGGAACCAGGACAGAACCAGCCCAGAAACAGCCCAGAACCAGCCCAGAACCAGGACAGGGGAGGTTCCAACTGTTTAGTCTGGACCAGATTTTCACAAAAGAATCTAGTCTGGACTTTTTAGAGCAGGGGTCTCCAGCCTTTTTCAATCGGAGAGCTACTTTTATACAAACGAACAGGCAGAGACTTTTTGCAGTCGGAACAAAATTGATCTAATAATTGCGACCAAACTATATTTATACTTATAATACATATGTAATGGGTCAAAAGGTATTGCTTGAAGTGTATTTGTAAAATTCTAATTCCTTTGGCGAGCTACCTGTAAGGGGCTGGAGAGCTACTGGTGGCTCCCGAGCTACAGGTTGGAGACCCCTTTTTTAGAGTTTTTTACCATGTTCATATTGTTTATTTTTCTTACTTCTCTGGCCTCTTTCTATCTCTGGTCTCTCTTCTCTCTCTGTCCTCTTTTTCTCTCTGGTCTCTCTCTCTCTGCTCTTTCTCTGTCTCCAGTGCCGCCATCGTGGATTTCTCCCCCTCTCTCTCTGGCTTCTTTCACTCTTTGGCCTCTCTTTCTGGCCTCTTTCTGGCCTTTTTCTCTCTCTGGTCTCTCAAACACATAGGACCCAGGCCGCAGAGACACTTCAGAGACCTCCGGGATCCTCACGGCTGCAGGAAAGACGAGCTCTCTCTCTGTAACCGGAGAAACCTCAGAACAGACCGTTGCTCTTTACGTAATCATAACTTACATTCCACAAGAGTCAAAGTTTCAAATCCTCACAAACAATTACCACTTCTTATTGATATTATTATAAATACATTTCAACAGTGTGAGTGTGTGTAATAAATCCTGTCTCATGCTCTTGGCTCCAAAACAGCTTCATGTGTCACTTTTTCAGATCAAACCTTTTCTTAATACAGAATTCACTCTCTCTGGTCCCTCTCCCCCTCTGGTCTCAACCCTCCCTCTGCTCCCTCTCTCTTTACCTCTAGTCTCTCTCCATCTCCCTCTGGTTTCCCTACAAACCAAACTAAAAGTATGAATGTAAATGTTCTGGTTCAGTGAGTGAGGGAAGCAGCGAGAGACCATCAATCTACCAGTCTGCTGTGGTGAAGAGGGAGCCGCGTCTGCTCTCAGAGCTCAGTCTCCACCCTCCCCTCTGCTCTGGAGGACAGACGCGTCCCACGTGAGTTTCCTCTGGCTCCAAAAACCCAAATGAACGTTTCACACAGAGATTAAAATGTCAAAAAGTTTAATAACAGACAAAAAACATCAACAATTAGAAACAGGTTTAAAAGACTTTAGATTAAAGTTCATCTACAGCAGATCAAGACTTTCCAGCGATCATGGTACAGTCCGAGGCAGGACCGGGCTCCGAGGACCGGGCTCCGAGGACCGGGCTCCGAGGACCGGGCTCCGAGGACCGGGCTCCGAGGACCGGGCTCCGAGGACCGGGCTCCGAGGACCGGGCTCCGAGGACCGGGCTCCGAGACCACAGTCTGAGGACCGGGCTCTGAGACCACAGTCTGAGGACCGGGCTCTGAGACCACAGTCTGAGGACCGGGCTCTGAGGACCTGGCTCTGAGACCACAGTCTGAGGACCTGGCTCTGAGAACCAGTGTGGACTCCAGGGGTTTTGGTCCAGTCCCCCACAGACCCTGGACCAGGTCTCAGTGTGTGTCTGCTGCGTCCCAACTCAGAAAACCTCCTCCTGACATTGATTCGAGGCATAAATAACTACAAATGTCTTAACTCTACGTCTGTTAGTTTGTCCCTACACATGATCCGTAGCATGTTTTAAAGCTGGGGTACGCAACTCTCAGACAACAACAAAATAAAACTGTATAATAAATTCCATTCTCTCTCTCTCTCTCTCTGCTCTCTTTATCTACTCTCTCTCTCTGCTCTCTCTTGAGACCAGAGAGAGAGAGAGACCAAAAAAAGTGAAAGCTCCTCCCTGGACAGAGGCACCAGTTTTAGTATTTTCCCAGAGTGAGAAACTTCTGGTATGAGCTAAACCAGACACACCAGGATAAAGGAGGTTTTTGTGCTGGTTTGGGATGCAGCCGACACCAGGAGGGGCTCAGGGTTTAGGAGGAGGCGCGCTTCTCCTCGTACGGAGACTCGTAGGCGTCCATGGGGGGGCAGGTGCACACCAGGTGCTGGTCGCCGTAGATGTCGTCGATCCGAGAGATCGACGGCCAGAATTTGGTTTCAGGTTTAATGTAGGGCTGAGGAGAGAGTAGAAACAACTTATATTATACACTACACAAGAAGGAGAGAGCAAAACCATTATACAGGAGAGACACGAGGAGAGAGCAACACTACATCATACAGGCAAGAGAGAAATGAGGAGAGATTTTTTTCAATGGAACAAGTCCCTCTGGTCTACCCTCTATCGCTCTCTGGTCTCTCCTTTCTTTCTCTGGTCTCTCCTCTATCTCTCTATGGGCTCTCCTTCTTTCTCTCTCTGGTCTCTCCTTCTTTCTCTCTCTGGTCTCTCCTTCTTTCTCTCTCTGGTCTCTCCTTCTTTCTCTCTATGGTCTCTCCTTCTTTCTCTCTATGGTCTCTCCCCCTCTCTGGTCTCTCCTTCTTTCTCTTTCTGGTCTCTCCTTTCTCTTTCTGGTCTCTCCTCCTTTCTCTCTATGGTCTCTCCTCCTTTCTCTCTATGGTCTCTCCTCCTTTCTCTCTATGGTCTCTCCTCCTTTCTCTCTATGGTCTCTCCTTCTTTCTCTCTATGGTCTCTCCTTCTTTCTCTCTATGGTCTCTCCTTCTTTCTCTCTATGGTCTCTCCTTCTTTCTCTCTATGGTCTCTCCTCCTTTCTCTATGGTCTCTCCTCCTTTCTCTATGGTCTCTCCTTTCTCTATGGTCTCTCCTTTCTCTATGGTCTCTCCTTTCTCTATGGTCTCTCCTTTCTCTATGGTCTCTCCCTTCTCTATGGTCTCTCCCTTCTCTATGGTCTCTCCCTTCTCTATGGTCTCTCCCTTCTCTATGGTCTCTCCCTTCTCAATGGTCTCTCCCTTCTCAATGGTCTCTCCCTTCTCAATGGTCTCTCCCCTCTTTCTGGTCTCCTTTCTCTATATGGTCTCTCCTTCTTTCTCTATATGGTCTCTCCTTTCTCTATATGGTCTCTCCTTTCTCTATATGGTCTCTCCTTTCTCTATATGGTCTCTCCTTCTTTCTCTATGGTCTCTCCTTCTTTCTCTATGGTCTCTCCTTCTTTCTCTATATGGTCTCTCCTTCTTTCTCTATATGGTCTCTCCTTCTTTCTCTATATGGTCTCTCCTTCTTTCTCTATATGGTCTCTCCTTCTTTCTCTATATGGTCTCTCCTTCTTTCTCTATATGGTCTCTCCTTCTTTCTCTATATGGTCTCTCCTTTCTCTATATGGTCTCTCTTCTTTCTCTATATGGTCTCTCCTTTCTCTATATGGTCTCTCCTTTCTCTATATGGTCTCTCCTTCTTTCTCTATATGGTCTCTCCTTCTTTCTCTATATGGTCTCTCCTTCTTTCTCTATATGGTCTCTCCTTCTTTCTCTATATGGTCTCTCCTTTCTCTATATGGTCTCTCCTTCTTTCTCTATATGGTCTCTCCTTCTTTCTCTATATGGTCTCTCCTTTCTCTATATGGTCTCTCCTTTCTCTATATGGTCTCTCCTTCTTTTCTATATGGTCTCTCCTTCTTTCTCTATATGGTCTCTCCTTCTTTCTCTATATGGTCTCTCCTTCTTTCTCTCTCTGGTCTCTCCTTCTTTCTCTCTCTGGTCTCTCCTTCTTTCTCTCTCTGGTCTCTCCTTCTTTCTCTCTCTGGTCTCTCCTTCTTTCTCTCTATGGTCTCTCCTTCTTTCTCTCTCTGGTCTCTCCTTCTTTCTCTCTCTGGTCTCTCCTTTCTCTGGTCTCTCCTTCTTTCTCTCTGGTCTCTCCTTCTTTCTCTCTCTGGTCTCTCCTTCTTTCTCTTTCTGGTCTCTCCTTCTATCGCTCTCTGGTCTCTCTTTCTTTCTCCCTCTGGTCTCCCCTTTCTCCCCCTTTCTCTCTCTGGTCTCTCCCACCCTCTCTCCCTCTGGTCTCTTCCTGGTCTAAAATAATTGCACTATAAGTTATAAATGTATTAAGGTAATTCTCTTGTAAAACATAGACTAGTCTTAGCATATTCTCACCACCAGAGGGAGACAGAGGACAAACACACACACACACACACACACACACAGAAGCAAGCATATTCTGACCACCAGAGGGAGACAGGACAAACACACACACACACACACACACACAGACTGTTGCATATTCTCACCACCAGAGGGAGACAAGACAAACACACACACAGACTGTTGCATATTCTCACCACCAGAGGGAGACAGAGGACACACACACACACACACACACACAGACTGTTGCATATTCTCACCACCAGAGGGAGACAGGACACACACACACACACACACAGACTGTTGCATATTCTCACCACCAGAGGGAGACAGACACACACACACACACACAGAAGCAAGCATATTTTCACCACCAGAGGGAGACAGAGGACTCACAGAGCGGCCCCAGTCTTAGATATTACCGGTAATGAAAGAAAACGTACCAAAGGGAAGGCTGCGAATTCTCTGGAGTAGGGCCTGTCCCAGGAGGAGGCCGTGATGCAGGCCAGAGAGTGAGGAGACATCTGAGACACACACACACAAACACACACACATTCAAAACATGTTAGACAATTATTTCTGCTGCAGATCAGAGGCAAAGGTCAGTTTTCTGTTTCACATTAACATAAATTAAAATGTCCAACGATGAAGCGGTGACAAAGCAGTTCTGCGGCAGTGAAGTGACTGATTCAACTTTTTTTTGGACGTTTAGAGGTAAAACATTGACAAACAAATGAGAGATGAGCTGTTTACGAGCAGTGAAGCTGGTCGGGAGATTTAGCCGAAATAAATAAAACTAAAAATAATAACAGTTTGGCCTCGTTTGGAACTTTAACGTCAGTAAAGAAGGATCAGTTTCTTGTTTCTATCAAAGGGAATATTGCAGTATAAAAAAAGTAATTTCTCCTCAAAACAAGATACAATGAGGCTGTAGACCCAGGACCGAGGCTGTAGACCCAGGACCGAGAATCAAACTCTCACAGTGAGCGAGTCTTAAACCTAACAGCTGTAAATCCACATGTTCGTACTTTTAAAGGGTTGACCCGTGAGTCCATGCGGCCCTCCTCGATGTCGCTGATCTCCTGCCTGATGGCCAGCAGCGCGTCACAGTACCGGTCCATCTCCGCTTTGTCCTCGGACTCTGTGGGTTCGATCATCAGGGTCCCAGCCACCGGCCATGACATGGTGGGAGCGTGGAAACCTGCATCAGAACACAGGTAGAACATGCAAACAAGATCACCTGCTACCAGAGAGACCAGACAGAGAGAGACCAGAGAGAGAACAGAGAGAGAGAGAACAGAGAGAGAGACCAGAGAGAGAGAGAGACAAGCAAGAGAGGGAGAGACCAGAGAGAGAGAGAGGACAGAGAGAGCAGAGAGAGAGGGAGAGAGCAGAGAGAGAACAGAGAGACCAGAGAGAGAGGACAGAGAGAGACCAGAGAGACCAGCGAGAGCGGAGAGAGACTAGAGAGAGAGAGAGACCAGCGAGAGCGGAGAGAGACTAGAGAGAGAGAGAACAGAGAGAGAGAGAGGACAGAGAGAACAGAGAGAGGGACCAGAGAGAGACCAGAGAGAGAGAGAGGACAGAGAGAGCAGAGAGAGAGGGAGAGAGCAGAGAGAGAACAGAGAGACCAGAGAGAGAGAGAGAGGACAGAGAGAACAGAGAGAGCGGAGAGAGACTAGAGAGAGAGAGAGAACATAGAGAGAGAGAGAGCAGAGAGATAGAATCAGTGAGGATTTACATGGAGACATTTCCTTCCTGACCCTAACAGCTCTGAGACTAATGTATTTCTCGCCTCAAATGTTTTTAAAAGTAACATTTATGTCCTGTTTATGCAATTATTGATCAGAACGATGTTGGACTGACTTCAGTTGATCCCAGAGTGACAAACTAGTATATAATCCTGATGCTAATGCTAATAATAATACGAATGTTCTACAACAGCAGCTTAATCCTCATTGTTGAAAATATTGAACTCAAAATAAGAGTTATACCGATCCACGATGTGTCTCCTCTGAAGTGAACTGTGCTAAACAGTTAAACTGGAGCTCACCGTAATCCTGTAACCGTTTGGCCACGTCCACCGCCTCGATGTTTGCCGTCTTCTTGAACGGCCTCACGTCCAGGATGAACTCGTGAGCCACGAACCCTGAGGCAGCAACATGTTTAGAATCAGAATCCTTTTATTGCCACGTGAGTAACAGGAAGTCCCAAACTGGGAAATGTCTTTGTCTCTCGGTGCAAACACGTTAAATCAAGTTAAATTCATATAAATCTACATACATTTTTTTCAACAGACCCTGAAGAGTGCGGTAAAGTGACGATCATGAGGTCAGAGGTCAGCGGAGCAGTCGATCTGACTGCTTTTACTTTGGAAGTGTAGTGACTGGTCCTGGACCAGGTTTATGTTGTTACCTGGTGTTTTTATACATTTAACATTGTTTTCACCATTTTTAGGTTAAGGTAAGAATGTATAGATAAAAGATAAACAAACATATAAAGATGGAGGAAAACTTAAAATTTTTGGGGAAATTCCCATGGTTTGAATGGAGCAGTCGAAATGACGGCTCTGGGAGGTTCTCACCGTGTGTCCCTTTGAACAGGATCTTGTACGGCCCCTCCAGTCTGCGAGCCATGTAGTTAGCATTCAGGATCGCTACCTCCGTGGAGTGGACCAGACCTCTGGAACCCATCATCTGAGGAGAGGGGGAGAGAGGGTGAGGGAGGAGGAAAGAGGAGGAGGGGAGAGAGAGGAGGGAGGAGGGGAAGAGAGGGTGAGGGAGGAGGAGAGAGGAGGAGAGAGAGAGAGGAGGGAGGAGGGGCAGAGAGGGTGAGGGAGGAGGAGAGAGGAGGAGAGAGAGAGGGGAGGGAGGAGGGGCAGAGAGGGTGAGGGAGGAGGAGAGGAGAGAGAGGGTGAGGGAGGAGGGGAGAGAGAGGAGGGAGGAGGGGAAGAGAGGGTGAGAGAGGAGGAGGGGAGAGAGAGGGTGAGGGAGGAGGAGAGAGGGAGGAGGGGAGGAGAGGCTGAGGGAAGAGGAGAGAGGGAGGAGGGGAAGAGAGGGTGAGGGAGGAGGAGAAGAAGGAGAAGGAGAGAGGAGGAGGGTGAGGGAGGAGAGGGGGAGAGCGGCGGAGGGTAGAGGAGAGAGGGAGGAGGAGAGTGCGAGAGGGGGTAGGAGGAGGAGGGGGGAAGAGGAGAGAGGCCTGAGGTCCCAGAGAGGAGGAGTCCCTCAGCAGAGCCTGACCTTGATGTAGGCCCAGGAGATGGGCAGGATGGCAGAGGAGCCCCAGGGAGCGGCGCTGATGGTGCCCAGAGACGACTCACTGCTCCCTGAGTGCATGGACACCACGGGATGGCAGGGCAGGAAGGGAGCCAGGTGGGACTTTCTGTGGAGAACCAGGGGCATGGGTCAAGACTCTGGCCTCAGTCCTGGGTCTGCGGCCTCAGTCCTGGGTCTGCGGCCTCAGTCCTGGGTCTGCGGCCTCAGTCCTGGGTCTGCGGCCTCAGTCCTGGGTCTGCGGCCTCAGTCCTGGGTCTGCGGCCTCAGTCCTGGGTCTGCGGCCTCAGTCCTGGGTCTGCGGCCTCAGTCCTGGATCAATCAGAGGCTGATCTGGTTTAAAGTGTTTAAAAATGTATTTGTGAATCTTTCTTGTTATTTTCTCCATACTATCTCTCTGATCTGTCTGTGTTTGGAATCTTTCTCTTATTTATGATCGTAAATTTAGTTTTTGAGTTATAAACTTTTAAAGTCCAGATATTGACACTTTACTGTGAACACACTCAAATAAATAAATATAAATGTAACTCTCATAAATATAAAGTGTCAGTCTCACACTCCGATGGGCCCCATGCCCGGGCCCCCGCCGCCGTGAGGGATGCAGAAGGTTTTGTGCAGATTGAGGTGAGACACATCAGAGCCATAGTCTCCAGGACGACACAGACCCACCTGAGACCAGAGAGACTGGTTAGAGACCAGGGAGGGACCAGAGAGACCAGAGAGAGACCAGAGAGAGACCAGAGGGATCAGAGAGAGACTAGAGAGAGACCAGAGAGAGACCAGAGAGAGACCAGAGAGAGACCAGAGAGAGACCAGAGAGAGACCAGAGAGAGATCAGAGAGAGACTAGAAAGATAATAGAAAGAGACTAGAAAGAGAGACCAGAGAGAAACAAGAGAGACCAGAGAGAGACCAGAGAGAGAGACCAGAGAGTAACATGTATCATTTCCTCAGTCCTGCGGTCTGACCTGGGCGTTCATGTTGGCTCCGTCGAGGTAGACCTGGCCTCCGTTCTGGTGGATGAGTTCGCACACGTCTCCAATCAGCTCCTCGAACACTCCGAACGTGGACGGGTACGTGATCATCATGGCAGCCAGCTTCGCCTTGTGCTTATCCACCTGAGACCACAACAACACCGAGAGCATGTATCAGGCTCAGAGATGCAGAGGAAGCCAAAAAAGACTGACTGTGTTGGTGCCAAACTGGTCGGACCACGGTGAGCTCCTGGAGCCTCGTGATGCTTTCAAGGGCCTCTCGTTACTTTTGGACAGTCGCTCTCATGTTTACTGTACAAGCATTGGACCAGAGAGAGAGACCAGGAGAGACTAGAGAGAGAGACCAGGAGAGACTAGAGAGACAGACCAGAGAGAGAGACCAGAGAGAGAGAGAGCAGGAGAGACCAGAGAGGGACCAGAGAGAGAGACCAGGAGAGACCAGAGAGACAGACCAGAGAGAGAGACCAGGAGAGACCAGGAGAGACTAGAGAGACAGACCAGCGAGAGAGAGAGCAGGAGAGACCAGAGAGGGACCAGAGAGAGAGACCAGAGAGACAGACCAGAGAGAGAGACCAGGAGAGACTAGAGAGACAGACCAGCGAGAGAGAGAGCAGGAGAGACCAGAGAGAGACCAGAGAGAGAGAGACCAGAGAGAGAGAGACCAGAGAGAGAGAGACCAGAGAGAGAGAGACCAGAGAGACAGACCAGAGCGAGCGACCAGAGCGAGCGACCAGAGCGAGCGACCAGAGCGAGCGACCAGAGCGAGCGACCAGAGCGAGCGACCAGAGCGAGCGACCAGAGCGACCAGAGCGAGCGACCAGAGCGAGCGACCAGAGAGAGAGACCAGAGAGAGACCAGAGCGAGCGACCAGAGCGAGCGACCACGAGCGAGCGACCAGAGAGAGCGACCAGAGCGAGCAACCAGAGCGAGCAACCAGAGCGACCAGAGAGAGCGACCAGAGCGACCAGAGCGACCAGAGCGAGCAACCAGAGCGAGCAACCAGAGCGACCAGAGCGAGCGACCAGAGCGAGCAACTAGAGCGACCAGAGCAACCAGAGCGACCAGAGCAACCAGAGCGACCAGAGCGACCAGAGCGACCAACCAGAGCGACCAGAGCGAGCAACTAGAGCGACCAGAGCAACCAGAGCGACCAACCAGAGCGACCAACCAGAGCGACCAGAGCAACCAGAGCGACCAGAGCGACCAACCAGAGCGACCAGAGCGACCAGAGAGAGCGACCAGAGAGAGCGACCAGAGCGACCAGAGCGAGCGACCAGAGCGAGCGACCAGAGCGACCAGAGCGAGCGACCAGAGAGAGCGACCAGAGCGAGCGACCAGAGCGAGCGACCAGAGCGAGCGACCAGAGCGAGCGACCAGAGCGAGCGACCAGAGCGAGCGACCAGAGCGACCAGAGCGAGCGACCAGAGCGAGCGACCAGAGCGAGCAACCAGAGCGAGCGACCAGAGCGAGCGACCAGAGCGACCAGAGAGAGCGACCAGAGCGACCAGAGCGACCAGAGCGAGCAACCAGAGCAACTAAAGAGAGACCAGAGAGGCCCAGGGCTCACCAGGGCCTTGAGGTGCACCATGTCGATGTTCCCGTCCTTGTCCACCTCCACCACCTGCACCTTCATCCCGGCCATCTGAGCACTCGCCGGGTTAGTGCCGTGTGCAGATTTGGGGATCAGACAAACCTGCAACACACATTACATTCAGACATGTTTCATTGTATAGCACGGTTCATACACACACTGACTCACAGGGCTGAAAACAAGATAGAAACATTCAGACAAGGCTTTAAAATATTAAATTATCACAGGTGTTGCAGCTTAACAACTTTTTAACTTGGATTTAAACATTGTCAGAGAAGAAGCCTGTCTCACATTTCCAGGAAGACTGTTCCAGATTGTTCCAGATTT